AGGTTGATGGACAATCTTGGGATGGCTTGGTTTGGGACTTTGAGAAGAAAACTTTCATGTCCCACTGGATGTTTTCAAACATGAGGCAGTAGGGTGCGTGACAATTTTACTGGAACTACCCGATATGGCACAGTTTTTAAAAGAAATGTATATTTGACTCAGAATAAATTCTTTCTTGGAACTACAGATGCTGGATTTCATTAATGTGATGAAACAGAATTCAAACATCTTTTTGCTTGCTTCAGTAGAGGAAAAATACCAAACTATTTTTACCTTTCAAGTAGAAGTATTTGACCTACATAATCAAGTATGAATTTCCTGAAATCTCCAAAACCATTATCTCGATAGAGGTTTTGGAATAGTTTCAGTTCAAATAAGGAAATGCTGTACAAGATAATTTCATAACGTGAAAACTGGAAATCACTTTTTGGTCAACTTTCAAAATGTCCAAGTGTGGGAAACTTTCAAAAGAGGAACTGACTTACCGGTGCCCATTTCTAAACTAATGGAAGTGTATTCTTTCAAATGTAGCAAGTTTCCAAATGTTTGGGCATACTGAATATCCAACAGGCCCCACGTTCCTGTTTGTGCATATGCTTAACATGTATTCTTGGCTTTCCTTTGGTTCATAGCAATGCTGATTCCGTGTGTTTGGGGGTAGTGGGAGGGAGAGTCTCTTGCCGTTGTTGGCATGCCTGAGAGCCTGCCTAGCAGAGCAAGCGGTTAGGAGCACTGTCTCAGGAGCCAGAGTGCCTGGCTTCCATTTCTTATTGCAGCTCTTAACTTTTCTTGTGACCTTGTGCAAGTTCTTTACGTTTTCTATGTCACTGTTGCCTCCGCCTTACAATGAAAATACATATCAGTATCTGCTTTGTTGGGTTGTTAAGGAAATGAAATGACTGGAGCTTCACCACGTGCAGAGACTAATGCATTTCTCATGGTAGGTATTAGTATGTCCCTTGTTAAATGAAGTTAAAAGGAAAGTGGAATATCATGGGTACTTTTGGAGATAGCTCACAAAAGACAGGTAGGGGAAAAATGAAAGCTGAAATAAAACATCCCAGAGATTAGAAACATGCCAAATGGGGATAAACTGAATTTTAAATCCCACGTATAGTCACTTGATCTTAGCCAAAAGGGACCGAGAAGCGATAAATCCTATATATAGTTAAAACCAATAAAGTCAATATAGCTAGTGATGTTACTGCTCTAAGTGATAATATGATCTTATTTCTTTCTTAACAAAAATCCTCAGAGATCGATCCCATTTTACAGATAAGAAAGTTGAGGCACAGTAGTTATGCAGTTTGGCAAAATCGTGCACCCCAAGCTCACTTTAAACCCACACAGTCTGGTTCAGAGGCCGTACTCAGAGCGTGCCTCACGCTCCCAACTGTCAGAAACCACAGATAGGGTGACCTGGAATTGTTTAGTAGATTCTAGAATATTTGAGCTGGGTATTCCTGATTGATGAGTGAGAAGTAGCTATCAACTTCAAAGTTTAGTGGATTTGTGAAACTTCCTTTCCTTAAGACGAAGTATGTGGTTGGAAACATAAATTGGTACCAAGTGGTATGATCCAGAGAGAATGAAAGGACATACACTGAATGCTCATGGATATTAGAAGCCTGCCAAATGCCAGTAAATTATTTTTCCATTTGTAGTCTCTTTTGGGATTTTCCTTTGGATCGGTGTTAACAGTCTAAAGGTTCCTGTTGATGTGGCTAACCAGTACCATCTAAACAATATGAGGAAGTGTTTGTTTTCATTTGGAATGAAAGTCATAGTAGGAACTACAAAAAGAACTTTTTACTTCTCATCAGATCATACATAGGATGGTACTTTCTCAGATGATATGAAATTTTTTTTTTGAATTGTTATAAAAATTCCACACGGGACTAACTAAAAGTGGAAAAAATAAAATTAGTTTTGTTGTTTAACATTAAATGTAGAAGTATCTATAAATAGAACCGGTATTAGAAAATCTGTACATATAACTGGAAGGAGGCAATAAATTCATACTATTGCCTGAAACATATAAATATCTAGTTTCATCTTTTTATTATAAAAGGAAAGCAAGTTTGAAGAATTCGAATATAAGCATGTGTGTAGTAGAAAGTTAATCCCCCTCTTGCATATGCATACCAGTGTGTGCATATATATATATTTACATTTATTGCCATATCAGATCTTTGTTTCCTTTTCATGTTAGTCCATGAAGATATGCTAATTTTTTAAAAAAGTTATGTTATATAAAGTTATCATAGTTTGGTTAAGCCATTACTGACTGGCATTTCAATTTTTTTTCTTCCGAATTTTTCTCCATTAAAAACAGTCCTATAGGACACATATATCCATCTATATTTGTGTAGTTGTTTCAACATATTTGCAGAAAATTTCCTAGAAGTGGGATTGCTGGACCAAAGCTGTGCATCAGAATGTTGAATGGTATTTTCAAGTAGCTTTCCAGAACACTTGTACCAATTTATAGTCTCACAGAGTGGGATTCTTCCAAAACTGTCATAAAAATCTTTTAGGGACACCTGGGTGGTTCAGTTAAGGGTCTGCTTTCTCCTTAGGTTATGATCCATGATCCCAGAATCCTGGGATCCCGTCAGGCTTCCCTGATCCCCATCTGCTTCTCCCTCTCCCTCTGCCCCTTGCCCTCTCTCCCTCCACTGCTTGTGCTCTCTATCTCAAATAAATAAAATCTATTAAAAAAAATCTTTTAAAGCAATTCTAAACTTACAGGTGAAAAAAAATCCATGTAATGTAAATGTATTTGCTTATTAGAGTATATATTTTTCATATTTTTATTGCCCATTTGTATTTTTCCTGGAAACTGATTTTTTTTACATCGTTTTCCCATTAAAAAATAAAATCAGGCTGTTTCTCTTTATTTACTGACTTGTGTGTTTCTACATATTTAATTCCAACTGGTATCCATAATCTGACTTCGGGTATTAGCATTCAGCAGTGATCACCTAGTGCAGACACCGGAATCTGTAGTTGTTTTCTGTGCAAAGCTGCTGAAACAACTAGATGCATGAATAGAGGGTTCTTTTTATGTATATTTTCTCCTTGTTTTTAGAGTTCTAGTCCAGGGTTAGTCAGTCAATCTTCTTTTCTAAAGAGCCACTTAGTAAATATTTAGGTTTTGCTGCCATACAGTCTTCATCACTATACAACTACTCAACCCCGTTGTTGTAGCAAGAAACTAACCATGGATTAAACCTGGGTGGACGTGGCTGTGTTCTAATAAACCTACTATGGATCCGAAACTTGAATTTCATATGACTTTTATACAGCATGAAATTTTCTTCTAACGTTTTTTCCTGTTGATATTTGAAAATGTGAAAACCATTCTTAGGTTGCAGGTTATAAAAAAAACGGGGTGGACTAGGTTTGGCTTGTAGGCTATTGTTTGTCACACCTGCTTTAGACCGTTTCTATAAAAAGCCACTTTGAAAAACTGCCACTAACCTGCAGACTTAGGACTTGTTAGCTACTAAGACTGTTGTAGACCTGAGTCTATGAAATTTGGCTTCACTTTCTTTTAAGTTATTATGAAATCTGAGATTTATTGTGTATATTAAATTTCCTAAACCTGGAAACGTGAGTACTCTGTGTAAATACTGGTGTCTCAATCTGTCTTGAATGGATTCAAGTTGATGTTTGATACAGGAGTGTATGCTGTCTCACATCGTTGAATAAGGAATTCCCAACCAAGTGTGATTTAGGGTTTAATGTAAATTTTTCATATTATTTTTAAAAACAGGCATTTCCAGACACTTTACAGTTATTTTACAAAAACACTATAATACCATTAGCGTTTCTGGTTTTTTCTTTCTCTTGTGGAAGTCATCCTCTCCATGGATTTAGTTTAACCCTAAGGGAAAGATTATTTGGGAAGGTCTTTGCCCACTCTGCAGTCTTCCAGCATTTCATGTGGTCATGGCACTGTTGTGTCCGTTTTAACCAACTCTTTACCCCCTGACTCAGAAGTGCTGAGGGTGGATCTGACCTTCATTTTTCCCATATGCTTTTTGGTTTGGGGGAGTATATAATTAAATTAAGGGATCCCTGTTTCACTATTACCTTTATATAATTTTTTTTGATGCTTGCACACAAATACAGTATTTCAAACTATAGTGTCCTTTTGTTTCCACCTACTCCACTTGAGTAGGTGCCTTTGCTGTGAACGTACATTTTTTTACAAGATTTTATTTATTTATTCATGAGAGACACACACAGAGAGAAGAGAGAGGCAGAGAATGGTATTAGAATGTCATAAAAATAACTTTTAATAACTTTGTTGTTTTTGTTCATTTTATTGGAAATGTATTCTTAAACCTCTTTTAAATGAAAAATTAAAAGGCAGAGGGAGAAGCAGGCTCCGTGCAGGGAGCCCGATGGACTCGATCCTCGGCCTCCGGGATCAGGCCCTTGGCTGAAGGTGGCGCTAAACCGCTGAGCCACCCAGGCTGCCCAACATACATTTTTGCTTACTTCTTTCTTCTGAGTTTTGAGTGTGTCCATCGCTGCGTATGTTAAATCATTTTTGGTAGCGGTTTTCAAAGTGCAGAGTAGCGGCTCAGCATTGCCTAGGGAAGTTGTGACAAATGTACATTCTTGGGCCCCAACCTAGCTCCACTGAGTCAGAAGCTCTGGGTGCACCCGTTAGCTATACTTTAATGAACCTTCCAACTTCAAGTGAAGATCAGATTAGTTGATCTCTAGTATTCTTCCAACTCCACTCTCCTGTTCTTACAGAATGTGCACGCTCATATATGAGATATTGGAGTACATTACACGAGTGTACATGGCAAGAATGTAGAATATGGATCTTCTTGGATGCATTTCTCTTTGTGCATCTCCACTAACATCCAGTGCTTGCGTGTAGCAGAGCTAGGGAAGTAAATGCAGCCACTTGACAATAGATATCATTCAGAAAGTTAAGTGAGTTCAACATTGCGCTGACATTTATCTCAGCAGATCTTCTGGAGGAGTTAGATAAAATCGATTAATGCTGAAGTTCAGTGAACTTCCTTATACTGCAACTCACCCTTTTTATTTCCTCTCTCATATTTTGATATTGGTATCCACGCCTTACATTTGAGAATCACCTCTGAGGATCATAAATAATTGAGATAAACAAGTTTCCAAGTGTGTTATGTATTTTGTTTATATTAAAAATAGTATGGCTTGTGTAGAATCAGACATCATTTACTAATGAACTAATCATGATGTGTTAACACCATTTTCAACAGAGACTTTGTCCAATAAGGTGTCGTAAAACCATTTTGGCAGTTATCCTTTATTAATTGGGTTTGATGTTTGATGTAGGAGTATGTAAGAGGTGAGTTGTGGTATCTGATGTCTTTGAATAAAGAAATTCCAGCAAAGTGTGATTTAGAGTTTAATATACATTTTTTTGGTATTACACACAAATTACAAACCAATAATTACAAACATTTTAACCACTTTTCTGTTAATAGTTAAGCTTTGCAACCACATAATCACATTTGTTTTTCTTACTGATGCAAATATTCATTAAAACCAAGTAGCATGTAGTTTTTAGAAGCTAGTTAATAAAGGTAAGTAGCAGTCATGGTATTGTACCATTAATAAAACTGTCTTCCCTAGCATTAAGGAGATATTCAGAGTTTTTTTGGTATTAGAATGTCATAAAAATAAATTTTAGTCACTTTGTTGTTTTTGTTCTTTTTATTGGAAATATATTCTTAAACCTCTTATAAATGAAAAATTAAAAAATTTCAGTCCAATTATCACTTCAATTTAAATTTCTTAGACTTTTGCTGATAATGAGAAGTTCGTAGTTAATATTCTTTGTGTGTTCCATTTACATTTTTATAATGAGTATCCCAATAAAACCAGCATTTGGTTAGGGAGTGAGTAAGGTGTATATACATCTTAGTAAGTTTAATTTTCAGTCAGAAGATTTTTATATGATTTATCAGTCTTTAGTTGATTATAACTTGATAGCATTGTGTTCAATATCGTATTTTAAAAAATTACAATAGATACTGTATGGTCACCCATTTAGCCAACACTTTACAAATCCTCAATTGTGTGTAGTTTGCCTCGTAACCATCATGATTACATAGTTTGTTTTTCCTACATATCTACATGTTAGGTTTCTTCTTCTAGGTAGCTTTTAATACTGGAAAAGTAAATGAAAATTACTTCTGTTGTTTTCTGCTCCGTGTTTAGAGAGTCATTGTTAGTGAGTGTTTGTACACAGTGCTTTCCTTTTGAATGTTCCAAACACTAATCAATTGAAATATTACCTTAGTTGGTTTACATTGGAGTCTCTTCACTTGGGTCACCACCATCCTGTTCTTTTTTCCTATTTTCGTGGGATAGAGATGTTGCAGGATTCTGGCACCTTAGCATATTCATTAAGGAATTTTTGAAGGACTTGCAAAGGAAAAAGTAGATGAATGGATCCAGACATGCATTTAAAGAGGTTAACCAAAGTGTGCTCTCTTTAACATAAAATAGAGTGTTCTCAGCTGAGCAGTCAAAGACATCCCGGGTTTGGCTCAGGGTGTAGGGAATGCGTGCAAAATGGAAAGGAACAAAACAAATAAAAAATACAGCAATGATAATGAAAACTTTGATGTTTACCTTTTTCTTGGGGACTTTGCCTACGCCTCTTGTTCTCACATACGACCTGTAGAGTTCTTTTGTAATGAGTGTGTAACATACAATGACAATCAAAAAATTAATCCAGAAAATGACTTGACAGATGTAATTGACTATTTCATGCCAGACCAGACCAAACTCTGATTTGAGGAAAGAGCATTTCTTCACGTTCTTGTCTCTCGGCCTCCTGTTGGTCAGAATCATGTTGGGCAAAGAGAGTAAGAACATGAATGCCCAGATTACAACGGAGAGAATTTTAGCCCCCAAGAGGTTGTTGGGGCTGGACGTCTTAAATGGCCTGGTGGTTTTCTGGTAGCGATCAATAGTTATCAGTCCTAGGAATGAAATGCTGATGTACATTGTGAAATAGAATACGACGGAGGTCACTTGACACACAAAGGTTCTCAGTGGTCCTGTTCCCAGCTTGGCATCACTGAGGATTTTGAACGGAAAAGTCAGAATCATGAGAAGATCAGAAATGACTGTGTTCTTAAGAAAAATAATAAAGTTGGATTTACTGCGGATTTGAAAGAAGATCCTCATTGCCAGGCTGTTTGTGATGAGGCCAACAAAAAACAGGACAGTGTAGAGGAGTGGGAAGAGGACCTGGGTGATTTTGTAATCTCTGGTACACAGACTGCCATTCCCAGCCACAGAGGTAAGGTTGTCCATGGCTTGTGTTTCTTCTTTGCTACCTAGGGGAGGAGGATAAGGGATGGTTATTTGCAATCCCCCGACTGTCAGTATTGCTCTTTATGTAACTTTTCTGGACCACCTTCTAAAAACTGAGGTTTCCAATCCCCGTTGTGACAGTAAGAACACAGAAAATTGAATCTCAGAATACTTAATTGTGGCAAATAATCTATCTCCAGCAAATAAAATGGTCAGAAGTCCGTTATATGAAGTTATAGATGCTTTGTATTTCTCACTTGCTAAATGTTTGCCCCTTTAAAGGATGTTTTTGAACTTAGGCAAATGTGCACAGCCTATAGAAACGGGAAGAGAAACATGTGGATTGTGCTTTATTCCTTTCCAGCTTCATTTCCATGCCATTTAGCTCTTGTTTCTATTCACAGTCACTTTTCCTGCACTGTCACTATTCCTGGGCTTCATTTACTCTGATGCCATCAAAGTGTATTGAGGAGAAGTGACTGATAATTGACTGTTAGAAATTTGTATAAGATCTCTTGTGGGGAATATACTAAATAAATACTAAACAGAAATAAAACTTTAGTTTATAATTGGAAGATATTTCTGCCTCTGTATTGCTCATCCATTCAGAAATCAGCCTCAGACTCCATCTTTAGCTTCAAATATTTTAGCCCACACATATCTCATTTTGACTTTGCACAATATATTGGAAGTTTTTACATACATTTTCTTGAATACCATTCAATTAAAAAAAAAAAAGCCTGTGAACAAATTGAAGTGGGCATCACATGGTGTTCCTCAAAATAGCCAGGGCATACTTTCCAGGTATATAGAGTATATAGTGATACTATATATTGCTAAAATAAAATACCAAAGCCATGTCCTTGTCTGGTTCCTTAGGTGATTATACCACAACCGGTGGCTGTAAAAAGAAAACTAACACTTGACTTGAATACATTATCTGGCATCTAAGTTTTGAAATTTCAAATGTAATTTGTAATGTTTTTATTTCATCAAAGGCAAATGGAATTGATCCTGTATGAATATGATTCCTAAAAATAAGACATGGTGATGTTAAAAGCTTATATATCCAAATTTAAAAAAAGATCATTCCACGTGAAAGACGCATGACAAATAAAGATAACATTAAATTCCCACGTCATTTTTCACTAATCATTGAAAATAACAGATTCATGTTGTCACAATTACGACTTCAATTTCCAACATCTCCTTCCCATTTAACTTAAAAAAAAAAGTACCGATCAAAACCCAGTATTAAATTGAAGTTAGGATGGTAGACTTTAAGCTTCTTTGCTACCGCTATTTATTCTTATTTGTGCATTCTCTGATAGTTTTGCAAATTATGCATTGGGAATGCTAATTTTCACAGACTGTATCTTATTTAATGAGTATTCTTTACATCAGGAGTATCACTTCTATCTGCCTATATTTAACTCTCACTTTCCATTGGAAGTAAAATAACTAAGGTCACTTATATTTTCCATGCCTTGTGCATGTGTATTTAATGAAGCAGTTAATGGTTGTCTCTAACACCGTCAATACAGGTTATATTTTAAGTTTTATTCCAAAGAAGTACATGCATTAAAATCAATTATTAAAGGTTTCCCATTCTAAGAAAAGTTGACAAACCTGTACACACCCATCATCACATGTAAACACATATATGTGTCAAATGCTTTTAGATATAAAGTTTACCTGGTTACTGTGTTGATTCAGGAGGATTTAAATGTATCCATTAAGTGGCATTTAATGATCCTGCAGAGTGTCATCTGGTATTTTCCTTTCAATGTCTTAGTTTAGTTGTTATAACTCTTTATAATGGAGTATCTGCTGAGCTTTCATCAGTAAATCTTGAGTGTTCTAGAGAGAAATAGAGAGAGGAAGAGAAGACTTCACAGTCAGAAATTACCTTCCAAAGCCCTAGACTCAAAGCTGTGCAGACACTGTATTTCTGTCTGGCCCTTTTTAGGACTTCTGCTTTTATTTCCCTGGGAAATGTGGGGCAGGGTGGGTAAGAATTCGTCTTTTAAGAAGCAGTTTAAAATCTTGCTGCTTTTTGCTGAAGCCTGCCATAGAATTTGATGCTTTATAAGTTCTTTTGGTTATTTTCCATGCACATGATAAATCCATGTTGAGATGAAGCTTTTCGAAGTCTGCTTCCTGGAGAAGGTTGCAAGCTTGCTTTCTTAGATGATTATTTACCTGAAAACATACTGTGCTCAAGCTGGGTGATATATTGCCTTTTAACAAATAATTACATTAGATTATTTACCTGAAAACATACTGTGCTCAAGCAGGGTGATATATTGCCTTTTAACAAATAATTACATTAACTTGAAATGTGTGCTTGTTACGGATGCTAAATCTCTTGCTCTTTGTTTTTTTCCTGGTTAATAATGTCATTATTTTAAATCTGTGTTTGATCAAGTCTTTGTACGTGAAACAGTTTCCTCTCATTATAAATTTTAAGATTCCAAAATTACATTAAAAAAGAAAAACAGTTGTATCCCTTGCCAGGCTTATTATATAAAGTGTCTTTCATGCTTTTCTTAAATAGAATTTAAATATAAACAATATTTTTTGTAACCTTGCTTTTTGGTTTGGGGGGAGTATATCATTAAATTAAGGGATCCCTGTTTCACTATTTCCTATATATATATATTTTTTTGGGGGGGGGTGCACACATACAGTATTTCAAACTATAGTGTCCTTTTGTTTCCAGTAGATCCACTTGAGTAGGTGCTTTTGCTGTGAACGTACATTTTTGGTTACTTCTTTCTTTTGAGTTTTGAGTGTGTCCATCGCTGCGTATGTTAAATCATTTTCGGTAGCGGTTTTCAAAGTGCAGAGTAGCGGCTCAGCATTGCCTAGGGAAGCTGTGACAGATGCACATTCTTGGGCCCCAACCTAGCTCCACTGAGTCAGAAGCTCTGGGTGCACCCGTTAGCTATACTTTAATGAACCTTCCAACTTCAAGTGAAGCTCATGCACAAGTAATGTTTGATTTTGTGGATTTAAACTGACCTGAGAATTTTGTTGGCATTAAGAGTTTGTAATTAAGTTATAAATCTGAGTAATTGTCAGCCAGACATTTCCGTCACATAATGATTCTGATCTCATAGTCATCTAGAGGTTTGATATTAAAGTTTTTAAGATTTTATTGAGAGAGAGAAAGAGAGAGATGGGTGAGCAAGCAGGGGAGGGCCAGTGGGAGAGAAACTCTCAGACTCCATGTGGAGCGTAAAGCCAGGCATTTGGGTTGATCTCATGACCGGAGCCAAAACCAAGAGTCAGTTGCTCAACTGACTTAGCCACCCAGGTGCCCTGGGAAAGTGGATATCCTTATAATTTTATTTGTTTTGAGATTCATTGCAGTTAACGAATTTTAATACTTGTTTGTTGGTTTAGGGGCACAAAATTATAATTCCGAAAAACACTTTCACACCTACGTTCACGGCAGAATAATAATAGACATTTGACTTCTTACATTGTTGTGTATTATCTTATTTTTTGATGTCAGTCACTCTGTGAGAAGTGTTATATTCTTTCCATTCTCCGTATGATGGAGCAGCAGAGCAGTGAAGCTAGAGACCCCATTCTAACCCATGATATCTGATCCCAGAGCCTGCATTTATTTATTTTTATTTTTTTTTAAATTTTTTATTTATTTATGATAGTCACACAGAATGAGAGAGAGAGAGGCAGAGACATAGGCAGAGGGAGAAGCAGGCTCCATGCACCGGGAGCCTGACGTGGGATTCGATCCTGGGTCTCCAGGATCGCGCCCTGGGCCAAAGGCAGGCGCTAAACCGCTGCGCCACCCAGGGATCCCAGAGCCTGCATTTATAACCCCTGTGTATCTAGGAATCCTCATCTCACTGTCTGCACCAGGCTCCCCTCGCTCCTTGAGGCCCAGGGGCGAAAGGTAAATGTCATGAATAGAGTGGTGGTACTGTTTTTCAGAAAATAGAAATCATATTTCCCTATATAGCAAATTGCCAGCTTTAGTCTAAAGGATGTTTTCATAATATTTTTAAGATGTTCAGATGAACAAGGCTTGTGAAAAAAAAATCAGGACTGATTTTAACAAATTAATATGCCATATTAAAGGAACACTAATTTAGGATACTGAAATCATACTACTTTATGAAGAATTTATGTTTCCAAATTCCTAGAAGGGTGTAAATAGGGATTTGAAATGAAAAGCTCCAGCTCTTGGTCTAAATGAACTTTTCTTTCATTTTCGCTCACAACTGTACCTATCTGTAGAGAACTTGATGCTGAAAGTGATTAAACTCTTTGAGAAGCCTCTCAGGTTATAAAAGTACACTGTTGACCCTTGAACAACATGAGAGTTAGGGGCTATAGAAGTTGAAATTTGCATGTAACTTAATTTTTTAAGTTTTGAATTGATGTATAGTTGATATATATATAAATAAATATATATATAAAAGTAACTTTTGACTTTTCTAAAAACCGAATAGCCCACTGTTGATGGAAGCCTTATTGATAAAATAGGTTGATTAGCACATATTTTGTATGTCGCCTGTTTTAGATGCTGTATTACAATGAAATAAGCTAGAGGAAAAATATTGCTAAGAATATCTTAAGAGAAAACACATTTGTAGTGCTGTACTGTATTTATTGATAAAATCAACATTTAAGTGGACCCACAAAATTCAAACCTGTGTTTTTCAAGGGTCAAGTATATTATTTCACAAACAGAAGATCACGTTGTGCACTTCAGTCTCATTAATAACAATAGCACATGCAGTTTGTAATTGTATGTATTATCACTGGAAACAGGACTAATTTTGATTTGGTTAATTTCTATGATCGAGATGACTTAGGAACATGAATTTATACCCCAGAATTTTAAAATGTAAGTAGTTTCACTGGTTTATTTATTTTGCCACATCTATTGAAGGTAATCTGCTTGTGTGAAAATATTTGCTTCCAGCGGGATTACTGTGAACTCAAGAGATCCATGTCCTGAAGTGGTGGTACCCAGTGGTCCTTAGGGAACCAGGTTAGGGCCGGAGGGTGGAGATGAAATTGAGACATTTGATTAGATCGCAGGCTATTTTAGTTCTAACGTTTTATGGTTTCATTAGGTTGATCATTTTGATAATAGTGAACTATGTTGAGCACATGCATTTTAAGTCAGTTCTTACATAATCTAGTGGTTTCACCTGTTAGAGTATAGAAATTTAGGTTACATATTGGACTCTGCAAGTAAGGAGTCCTGGGTATGGGTTATTGAGCAAAAGAGATTGCTGTGTTGATCCAATTATTTGTCATCCCTGACTTGATTGTTTTGCTTTTGAAAGTGAAGAACTCCTACTAACAAATTAATATGCTCCTTGACATTCATTGCATTGTGCTCCTAGGATGCATTGAGCCTGTTGAATAAAGCTGTCATTTCAGCCATACTAAGGGCTAATAAGCTATTGTAGAACAAAAATTTTCTATATAAGTCTAATGAAAGGATCCTCCTACTTTCTGGATTTATTTAATTAATTCATTTTACTTTATTAGTTTTTTCTACTTTCTGGATTTAAAGGAAGTTACTCCATGCAGAAGCTGCTAATTTCTTGTTCATTTGACACAGCCTCCCCATGCATGTACATTCCCTTCTTACACGCCTGCCTAAGGCTTATCACTCATGGAACATTTATTTGAAGTTAAATAAGTAATTTGAAGTTACTCTGAACAGAATCAAGTGACATATTGAAAGACTCAGCTAAAAGAAATAATTTGAAGGCTTCTTTTAGGAGATTTTTTCATTTTAATAGATTAAGTAAAATACAGTTTTTATGTAAATAACTTGTTTTTAAAATATATTTTTTAAAAGACTCATTTATTTCAGAGAGGGGAGAGAGAGAAAGAGAGAAAAGAGAGAGGGAAGAGAGGCTTAAGCATACTGTGCACTGATTGTGGAGCCAGACTTGAGGCTCCATCACAAAACTTTAAGATCATGAGCTGAGCCTAAAACCAGGAGTTTGATGCTTAACGGAGCCACCCAGGTGCCCCTTAAAAGTGGTTTTTACTGCTTTTCTGGGAGATGGGGTAGGATGCTCTGTGCAGTTTACTTCCTGATGTATCCTGGGTTTGTATTTGAGTATTTAAACATATGCAATTACAGAGTGGTAGGGAAGTAGGAAATGCTATATTTTGTCTTATGAGGGACCATTGCATTGACTTCATCTACTTTTCATTAGTGTTTGGAAGAAAAAGAAGCAGATCTAGAGTAGGATTCGTTTATATCTCCTTTTAAAAAGAACATTAATTCATTGATTTTAAAATTCTACGATTATCGGGGCACTGGAGAAATACCAGGATATATGAATGAGATTAAAAGAAGACGTGGCTCTGATCATCTCACTTCTGTTATCCCATCTTGTGAACATACACCTGTTGTGGGCTACATTTCTAATCACTTCTATTTCAGTGATGACTTAGAGGAGACTTCATTTCTTTCCATTAACTCTAATTCTTTCTTCTAAGGTTTTGGGCTTAAGAGGCCTATTTTAATTTCTGTAGTACTACTGGCCTTCTAGGGCCTTTGGACACGCATCCTCCTAGTTTCTTGATCACTTTAGTCTTTCTGAGTGTCAGATGTTATTTGGAGAAAAAGAGAAATTGATCCCAAGGATGAGATTTTTTTTTTTTTCAGAAATTAGTGTATAGGGGAGATCACCTGTCCAACCCAAGCATAAGAGTGGGCTAGCCTGAGAGGAGTGACTAGGCTTCCATGGACTCTCCAGTTGATTCTCTTTTCCTGCCAACTAGCGTGTCCTTCAGGGTTTAAATCATAGAGTAATTCTTTGGTGCAGATCTCTAATCATTGACATTACGTATACCTATGCCACTTGAGGATGATTAATACCTCATTGAAAGAGCATACCTTTGGAAATATGTGGCCCGTTTTCTAAGGTTGAGATTCTCATATATTTTCAGCAAGTACAAAAAAAATTGATATAAATGAATCTTGTAGGCTAATGAAAAACAGTCGCTTTAAAAATATCTGTCTTTCCTCTTTAAAGACCAGTAAAGGGCTAGCAGGATTTACCTAAAAATACTAATTATCTGACACAAATATGGTCTTTACAGGCCCCCTGTAGAGACTGATGGTGGGTTCTTTTGCAGGTAAATGCCAGTTGCTCTTGCATTCATGCCCTCGCTCTCAACTCTTGACTTTGCTTCTGGCCCAACTCTCTGAGCAAATCAGAGCCGCCAACGAACAGAAGCTTCTCTTCAAGTTCCTTATTCATCTCTAAATTTCCCTGTAGTAGTATTTTTACCAGTTTTCTTTGTTTTCTCTGTGTTTTAGTAGAAAGTTGTCCTTGTCTTTCTTTCCAAGTTCTAAACAAGCAGCCATTATTTCTATCTCCATTATCAGTTGTCTACCCTCTGATCTGGTTTTCTTTCATAGAGACTCATTTATTTGAAACCTGTCTTTGGCACAAGAGTTTGCTATTGGTTATCCTAATAACGCTTTTCCTCCCCCACCTCTCAGGTGAGTCTTCATGGCCATCTACTAGTGAACATGGGTTTACTTCCCTCACCTTTACCATTTTGCCATCTACTCTTACTACAACCCCATTTCCAGCTTTCTGCCACTACCGCTCTAGAGAAACTTCTCTTTTGAGGTTCATAAATAATATTTTTTTTGTCTTGTTTTTAATAAACAAGTCAGAGAGGCAATATCCATTGTGACCTCTTACTACATTTGACACTGTCAGCGGCCCCCAGTGTTAAATGTCCCTTTTCTGACTTCCATGACCTTTACTGTCTATTCATCTTATTACTTATGGAGAGGACGTGTGCATCATTTGATGGCTTATTGATCTCCTTCATATCTCCGCTCTCTTGATTCTCCCCTCCCTCTAGAGAGAACATGGGGGTTTTGTACCCCTCCCAAGGACATAGTGCTCCAGTCCCTAGCAGCATATATTAAGTGCCTAATTAGTACCAACTAAGGAGACTGTAAGTACAAACTAACAGTCTAGCAGGAAGGGCAGACGTTAAACAAATCACTCAGAAATGAGTGAATTAAAAAAAAAAAAAAGAAAAAAGAAAATGAGTGAATTTCAGTGTGGCAAGTGCTCCAAAGGTTCTCTTCCCCTCCATACTCCTCCTTGTGCTAAGGGCTTACACTCAACTGAGGTGACAGTGAGGGACCTGACGCCGTAATTGTGCACAGCACTTACACGCGTGAGAGGCAGGAGGTCGGAGTATTTTAGGTGGCGGGAGGAGCAGCAGCAAAGGAAGGAAGTACCCCGGTGTCTTGAGGAAATGTTGAGTAATGCAGTACAGCGTGGACCTGGGGTGCCTGCAAGTGAGAAGTGAAATTGTAGAAATCTGAATGGACAGCAGTGGGTTCTCTGTCTGATAGGCCAACTGTTTTATATACTTTATCTCAGTTATTCTTAAAAAAAATCTCGAAAGTGGTATTAGCCCATTTTTCAGGGGAAGAATCTGAGGCCCAGAAAGGCTCATTGGGACAGAAAGACTCAAAGGACCATGGAGTCAGCAAATGGCACAATCCGAATTAAGTCACAGCTCTCCCTTACCCTGGGGCTGGTTTGTTACTGATACAGGTGCAGCCACGATCTCTATGTGTTTGTGACAAGCTCTACAAATGCTACTTTTGGGACACTGACTATGCTCCTTGAGGACAGGGAACATTCATCCTTGTATTTTCTCAGGGTCCCTTCCTCCCTTCTTGTCGGGAAGATAGGTAGATACTCTAAAAGTTCAGTAACTCTACTACCATCTTCCCATCACTCCTCTCACAGAAGTTTACATCAGAACTATTTGACAAGTACCTTCGTGGAAAACACTTAGTAGAGCACATGACTGACACTGCCTGAGGATTTTTTTTTTCCTTTTTCTTTAAAGATTTTATTCATTTGAGTGAGAGAGACAGAGCAAGCGAGCACACACAGGCAGTGGGAAGGGCAGAGGGAGAAGGAGACACAGACTCCCCGCTGAGCAGGAAACCCAATGCGGGGCCAGATCCCAGGACCCCAGGATCATGAGCCAAAGGCAAACACTTAAACAGTTGAGCCACCCAGGTGCCCCCTGCCTGAATTTTGTACGGTTTTTCTCAGTGCCCTCTTGTTTCCTTTCCAGGGCTCATCTACATCCCACTAGACAAAAAATAGATACATCAATAATGCCCTGTAATGGCAACAGAAATTGAAGATGAATAAGGAGTGTATTAGATCATTCAGGTGTGCAATAAACTGTAGGTCACTACCTCTGTTGACTTTATCCTGTGATTAGGTCTGTCTTGAAACTTTGGAGGACATTTGGATATTCAGAATATGAATTAACAAATGCTAGTATTGACCAGCACCTAGCTCTTTTTTTTTTTTTTTAAAGAAGCATATTGGAACACGTGAAACATTGCTAATTATTCCTGGTCAGCATAGGAAGATGGATCATCAGCGTATAAAATGCATATGTATGTGAGGAGGATAATAAAAGGAATCAGTGCAACAAGAAGTGGTGACTTGAGTGCACGTGTGTGAGAAAAATCGAATGATGGAAAGTGACAGAAGCTGAGAGAGAAAACAGGCGCTTATTTCAAAAGTACAAAAGCAAAGTGCAACTTTGTGCAGAGCGTAGACTTTGTGCACTCGTTTTTTGTTTGTTTGTTTGTTTTTATAAATAAGTCCACATAAGCATTGATATTCTCCAAGTCAAGGCTTTTGCTCATTTTTTTTTTTTTTTGTGGCCATTATTTACACCCTGCAGTTGGTCTTCCCTGGGAAATAGAGTCTTTGCTCATGCAGGCTCCTTAGACTTAGATTCTGTTAGGAAGGCCAAGTGCCTAACACGGGCAAACACATACAAAAAAGAAAGAAAACGGGACGTACTACGGCATAGAGCTTGGACTTTTGCTAATAAAATGTCAGAGTATAGGATGTGGTTAGCACTGGGTATGTGTTATTGGTATGCTGTCAGCAAGTAATTTCTTTTCTCTTGTGGGATATACGGTGCTTAAATTTACTGTGTCTGTGGAATGAGGGTGGGGAGATGGTCCAGTAGAGGAGGGTGGTGTAGAACCTGTTGCATTTCAACTATTTGCCTCACACCTAATGATACCTGCCCTCTTTATCGTTTTGTCATTTGGAATTAAATATACATACGCATCACACAGTCATGTTGGAAGCCAGTGGAACATTTTTTTTTTCTCTCAAAGCACTTGAGGATCCTAGCTAGGTCATTTAAAAAATATATATTTTAATGATGCTGTACATAGAAAAGTTTGCTAAGAAATAACAGTTTCCTTGAGAAAGTAGGACTAGATAATATGTAATATGATGTGAAAATATTACCATGTCAAATTTTAAACAATGAAAAATTTTCAAGAGTCAAAACTTACTCCGTAGGGTACGCCCACACCAAATGCTTCTCTATTAGGACTTCAGGTCAGTTGACACTTTTTTTTTTTTTATTTATTTACACTTTAGCAAGTCCCAAACTGGAAAAACAAGGGTGTTGCCAGTGGAGGTTGAGGTGAATTGAAAGGTGGGCGGGATGCCACCACCGCAAGCCAGCATGGAGATGCTGTGGTTAGTGCATTTCATGGACATGAAATGCAACCCCACCCCTGCAAACAAGGGTTTCAAAATGCATTTTCTGTTTTTCAGGATGAATCTTCAAGTCATGAATGTAACCAGCGCACAATCCTTCTTTACGGAGTGGGCAAAGAGCGTGACGAAGCGAGGCATCAGTTGAAGAAGATTACCAAAGATATTTTGAAAATCCTAAATAAGAAGAGCACCACAGAGACAGGGGGTAAAGAGCCTTAATGCCTTTGGTCCTATTGTGCTGTCTTTCGCCCTTCCTCCTAGCACGGTCTTTATCAGAGTCATACATGGCACCGTCACCAGAGTGTTTCCTCTCCTGAATGACTGTCTTACTGAAATATGAATAAGCACATTGAAATTTTAAGGCCTTGGTTCCATTTATAGCAATCCTTATATTAAAATACCATGTTCTGTAGATAACATAAGGTAATTTTAATTTTCTATTCTTTTCCTTTCCCCCCAAATTTTCTATAGTAGGCATAAATGAAATACTGAAGAAGGTGTTGGAAAACCCTAAGCCTGGAAAATCTCCATTTCTCCCATTCTTTACCATCCTTTTTTAAGCTTGTAGTTTGCTCTGAGTACTCATATTTGCACAATGATTGAAAATCATGACAGTGTAGTTGCCGATCTTTTCTTATATTATTCAGAAGAACAATTGCAGTAGGTAGTGAGGACTGCCCATAACACCAAATGATTTCGACTAAAAAACAAGGAAATCGGGTCTTTGCTCTATAATGCTGTCTTTACTTGGAATAGTCTTTCCCCATGCTCTTGACATATATATTTTACAGTAAAGCTATGCCTTTATATTATGTCACCACATTGCATAATTGGAATTCTGTAATTATCTACCTCACATTTGCCTAATTACTCTTTTGAAGGATTGTTTATTTTATCAGGCAGTCATAAGATATAAAATACGATATCATTATATATACTTCACTACCATTACTGGTGTTTATTTCTTTATTATGTAAATAATCAAAGGGGGGGAAAAAAGCTTGAATTTTCCCTATGCAAACAGTGTTCTTCCTACACATGGCATAAACCACTGTAGGAGCCCTACTTTGTTGGCCAACATAAAATACATACGTTTTCATGAATCTCTTCACAGGCCCTCCAGTCTTTAGACTTCAGCCACGTGTTTACTAGAGCTTGCCCAAACTAGATCATTCCTAGAGAAAAGTAGAGCTAGAACCAATACAAAAAGCTCTGTGTCTTTTCCATCAGTAGGGTTGCCCATTGCAGCAGCAGGGTACAAAGGCAACACACTTCTCAGTGTGAATGTGGTATAGCAGGTGTCTGATGTCTGAGGCGATAGTCTTTAGGACATAATGGAAGAGTTTTCTCCAGTGATTTACAACATTTCCCTGACTGCCCTCCCTACCATTGCCACTGACAGACCTTGTACCACCCTGGGTCTCATGAGGGAGCAACTGAGAATTGTGGATGGGAACTGAAACCCTGTTGTTGTTGGCCTGTCATTATTGAGCTTGGTTTAAAAAAAACAAACACAAACCCCAGAAACAAAGAACCTGCTCTAAGGAAAACTGTTGATCTTATGTTTTGCTGTTTCTCTGTGTTAGCGTAAAGACGGAATGGATTACATGTAGAACACTGAACTCAGGAGAGATTTGAAGCTTCTTTTTGAGTACTTGGAAACCGGATGGACACTGTCTTTTTTTAGAAGGGTCAATAATTCCTGTTTCATCAATACTAATTTTAGAGAGTCTTCCTAGATCGTTGGGAATTCGAAGGTTTGGAAGTCTGAGAGGGGTCCAAAGGGGAAGGAAACAATGCGGTGTCCTATTTTGTTGAGACTGCTTCCTTCCTTCCTTCACAATGAGTGTTTCAGGCCAGACTGCAGTCTATCCTATCTTTGTACCAGTCTTTTTAATAGGCAGTTCTTGCTTATGAACCCCAAAAGAAAAAATCATTGTTGTTCCATGCTACTTTCTTGAGATATCATCAGTAGAACCACCACTGTGGAGAGAGACTTGCAATGGGGAGATTTATCTTTCCCTCATTTTATTTCATTTAATTTTACTTTTTAAAGATTTACTTATTTTTGAGAGAGAGAGAGAGAATATATGAATGTGTGGGTAGGGGGAGGGACTGAGGGAAATTCCTGCGGATTTCACCCTGAGCTGGTATCCTACTGCAGGGCTTGATCCCTCAACCCTGAGATCATGACCTGAGCGGAAACCAAGAGTCGATGCTAAATCGACTGAGCCACCCAGGCGCCCGTGACTTTCTCTCATTTCAGATAAAATTCCTCAACCAGAGATATGTTATTTTGTGATGTAGTGAGTTATCTTCTGATAAATAGTCGAAGTTTAAGTCAGTGCTTAAAATCTAGTATGCTTGCCAGAAGCTAGCTAGCTAGCTGTACTTTTGATGAACGGTGATTTGTCCACTGTTTCAACAAAGAGAACTGATAAGGCAGGAAAACACAGAACTTGTGTTAGCGTGTATTTCATTTCTGGCTACCTATAAAGGTGTGGTTTTGAGGAGCTCACTAGAAGTGTTCTCACATTAGCCAAGCCTTATGTGGAAGTTTAAGTGACACTTCAAGGTGAACATGGTCAGTCTTCATTTTCCATTCACATTGGCTAGTCACCTTTGGTTGTCAATTTTTTTAGGATTTTATTTATTCATTTGAGACAGAGAGCACACATGCACGTGCATGAGCAGGCGGGTAGGGGTAGAGGAAGAAACAGACTCCCCGCTGAGCCAGGAGCCTGACCTGGGACCCCAGAATCATGACCTGAGCTGAAGGCAAGATGCCTAACCATCTGAGCCACCTAGGCCCCCATTTTTTTTTAACAGTAATGAAGTTTACCATAACAAAAAAGGCCAAATTTTTTTTAAAGGAAAACCAACATTAAGCAATAAAAAAGAGCAATAACATGTATTATGATAGCAAATTAAAATAAAATAGATGAGGAAAATCTGTGAATTATGACTACATTATTATTTATTAAATAATCATTAAAATAAAGTAGTCCATTGAGAACCACCACTGATTTAAGTTTTTTTGAAAGTGAATGTATTGAGGGGTGTATATGAGGTTTTCAGAATGTAGCTACATGAAGTAAAATAGAGCCTATTTAGCATAAACCAAAAAAATGCATTTGTAAATTCTCATGCTGGCTGTACTTCCTCAAGTGTGTTATTTTTGTTTGTGTGTTGGTCCCAGGAAGGACTAAGTACGTCATCTTCACTTTTACAGTATATTGTACCCAAGACCATTGATGTGAGTTTTGATTGAGCTTTGGATCAATGATATTAGTAAATGAAAAATTCAGAATTTGGATATTTTAAGCATGCTTATTACATGTGAGCAGCTATATAGAAGGCAGGGGACCACACTTAATTTGAGAATAGATATGAAAAAAAGTAGGTTTAATGAATTTCTTAGTTCTTTCTCTATGCATTAGATTTGGTGTTAATGAAAATGGCACAGTCTTGTACCTTCTGTTACTCTTCACCTTTTAATTCTATTTACTCTGCTATTTACTCTTTATTCTATTTACTCTGCTTCACCTTTTAATTCTATTTACTCTATTTATTCTGCTTTAGGAAATCAAACACCCTGGTGTGTGTGCAGAAAGAAAATCTCTTCTAGTATTATTTTCTAAAATCATTACATTTGCCTTCAGCAAAATCTCTTTGCCTTCAGTGAAATAGTTGTGTCTTTAATAGGGAAAACAAAATTTGTAAAGTGACCTTTGTTCTCTGAAAGTAAACTTTCCCAAATAAGAAGACATGGGTGATGAAGCTCCCAACTCAGTAGCCTTTGCCTATTTAGAATCATAGTGTTAGAAATGATCTTAGATATCATAAAATCCAATCTTTCTGGGTTTTGTTTTTTTTTTTAGATTTGTCTTTTTAAATCCATATATTTAAGAATATTTAAGTCAGGATCTGATTCTTTTTGGATCTTAGCCTTAGAACTGTTAAGAAAAACGAGAATCCTCCTGGGGTTAGGTAGTGTTTATAATTTTTTTTTTAATTCTCTTTAAACTTCCTTATGCTAAATTGACACACGTGGCACTTTCCCATTATGCGGAGAGCTTTAATTCCTTGCTACTCCTAAAAAAAAGTTTAAAATTAAAATTCCTTTTATACATATTAAACTGTCTGGGAGAAATATCATGGTGAATGTCCTAACAAGATGCCAGGGAAGTTTCTGTGATCCTGGGTGATTCCCCACCACCCCCCACCACCCCTTTCATCGTTAGCGTCGTATTTTAAGACTTAGTGAGAAATGTGTATAGAGGCATTTCCCGTAAATAGTCTAAATCTGGAAAATACTTAGAATAAATAAATACAGGGTGGTTTTTTTGACACATTAGTATATTCCCCATGAATGGGAATTACTGATATTTCGAATAAGTTAAAATTGTCTCAATGATGTAGATCAAACTCAGAAGGTTATGGTTGAATGAGAGCTGCCAGAGGTAAAAAAGTATCTCTCATGTGGTTCCAAAGTGCGTAATACTAATAATCAAAGCCTTTAGAGGTCAGGATCTCCATCTCCTGGGGCAGAGAGGTGTTTAGGAGGATATCTAGGTAACTGGTGCGTAATCTGGTCATTCCAGTCTCATTATGTGAGTATATTTGCTTTGTAGCAATTCATAGCTTGTGTGCACTGCTCCGTATATGTTATACTTCAATAGAAAGTATCCACTGAAAAAGTCAAGAGCTTCTACTAAATGGAAAGTAATGTATCTACTGTATGTCTAGTTGGAGACGAAGGACAAAAAGCCAGGAAGAACAAACAGGAAGCATTTCCAACACTGGAGACTGTGTTCACAAAACTTCAGCTCCTTTCATATTTTGATCAGCATCAAGTGACATCTCAGGTAGCTGCTTAAAGCTGTGTGTTATGCATTTGGGATATTCATAGTTACGTAAAAATTTCTTTCATAAAGTATATGTGTTTGGCCTTATTTTGTTTTATAGAAACGGTTTTAAAACGTGTTTGGAGTCCTCTCAAACTATTGAGTTAGTTCACTTTAAGTGTCAGGTTGTCTTCTTCAGAGAAACTAATTTTACTTAAAAATACTTTTGCTCTATGATAATAGATCAATAATGTATCAAATAGTCCCTAATGCAATACTTCTGTTAATACATTTTGGTCTTACATTGCTATGGATAAGGGAGAAATCTGTTGATGACTAAAATAAAATACTATCTAAGTGAGGAAAAAAAAAAAAACCCAGATCTGTGTTGTTTTACAAGTCCACTGATAATGAGATGTTATCTGAAAACTACTTAGCATTTGTAGTTCTACCTTTAGGATAGTTGGGTTAAGATCTTAATGACAACTTGGCTTATTTCTTTAAATTATAGTCGCATTAAGGAAGTTGTCGGATTTGTACCTACTTTTCCTTTGTGGAAATATGTTTTAACTTTCTTCCAAGTAGAATATGTAAATTCAGATTTCTTGCTTAAAAAAAATAAGTTTGAATATTGATCTTATAATTATGTTCACTTTTGTTTGTTTTTCATTGCCCAGATCTCCAACAATGTGCTGGAACAAATCACGAGCTTTGCTTCAGGAACATCCTATCATCTCCCTTTGGCTCACCATATTCAGCTTATCTTTGATCTAATGGAGCCAGCGCTGAACATCAATGGACTAATTGACTTCGCAATACAGGTATCAGAGAGACCCTGCATCCTCTCATTTTTTAGAAAAGCAAATCTATTAGGCATCAGACAATTTAAAACGAGCAGCCCAGTGCATTTTTGCAAAATTGAGACATTCTGAATCAGCAGTATTTGGCTAGTATTTTAATTGCAGCTGTGTTCATGATTTTCAATTAAGTAATTATGATTGGTGCTAAAATATATATAACAGACATTTTAAAATGTGAAGTTTTCTTTTTTTTTAAAGTTTTATTTATTTATTTATTTATTTATTTATTTATTTATTTATTTATTTATTTATTTATTTATTTATTTATGAATGATAGACATACAGAGAGAGAGGCAGAGACACAGGCAGAGGGAGAAGCAGGCTCCATGCCGGGAGTCTGATGTGGGACTCGATCCCAGGACTCCAGGATCGTGCCCTGGGCCAAAGGCAAGCGCTAAACTGCTTAGCCACCCAGGGATCCCCAAAATGTGAGGTTTTCATCTTTTGTTGTTTTGCTTAGGGAAAGGTGAAAGTTTAGAGATGCCCAGGTGGCTCAGTGTTCGATGCCTGCCTTCGGCTCAGATCGGGATCCTGGAGTTCTGAGATCGAATCACATATCGGGCTCCCTGCAGGGAGCCTGTTTCTCCCTCTGCCTTCGTCTCTGACTCTCTTTCTATGTCTCATAAATAAATAAATAAAAGGGATCCCTGGGTGGCGCAGCGGTTTAGCGCCTGCCTTTGGCCCAGGGCGCGATCCTGGAGACCCGAGATCGAATCCCACGTCGGGCTCCCTGCTTCTCCCTCTGCCTATGTCTCTGCCTCTCTCTCTCTCTCTCTCTCTCTCTCTCTCTGTGTGTGTGTGTGTGACTATCATGAATAAATAAATAAGTTAAATCAATCAATCAATAAGAGCTTTAAAAAAAAGAAAAGGAAAGGTGAAAGTTTATGTACTATTTATTGTAGAGTGTATTTTAGTTTAAGAGCAAACAAAAAACCTCTATAATTTGATTTGTCCCATTAAATTGCTTGAACAAATCCTTGAGTTTATTTATTATCTTGTTTTTAGTGAATAGAAACAAAACTTGTTTTCTATTGCTTATTGGAACTGTTTTGTTACAAGAAAATAATGATAAGTAACTTCTGTTTCCTTAAAAAGAAGGGAAAAGAGAAGAAAAAGTGAGAGGTGTGATGTTCTCTGAAATGATCTGGTCTAGAACTTTGAGCTGCCATCAAGTCTTAGTAGCTATTTCAGTGTTGGATACTTCCTGATTGTATGTCCACAATGTCTAGGCAGAAGAAAAACTGTAGCATTTGGTAAAAGAACAATAAGGGCAGCCCAGGTGGCTCAGCGGTTTAGCGCCTGCCTTCCACCCAGGGCCTGATCCTGGAGACCCAGGATCGAGTCCCACGTCAGGCTCCTTGCATGGAGCCTGCTTCTCCCTCTGCCTGTGTCTCTGCCTCTCTGTCTCTCTCTCTCTCTCTGTGTGTGTGTGTGTGTCTCATGAATAAATAAAATCTGTTTTTAAAAAAAGGATTAACAATAAAAGCCAGTTTGATTCACTGGGGCTTACTTTCTCACTCTGTGGTTGTGTGTGAAAATGGTCCTGGGACAGGATAATAAGTGAGATAAGAAGGTATTAGAATGACTCAGTATGTCCATGATTTGTGAAAATAAATGTTTTTCCTATTCATTTTGGCAGCTACATTTTTATTCATTCTCTTCTCCCATTGTAGCTGCTAAACGAACTGAGTGTTGTGGAGGCCGAACTGCTCCTGAAATCCTCCAGCCTGGCGGGAAGTTACACAACGGGACTGTGTGTGTGCATCGTGGCTGTTCTCAGACGGTACCACAGTTGTCTCATCCTGAATCCTGATCAGACAGCCCAGGTGTTTGAAGGGTCGGTATATAGAATATCGTTACTGTTTCTCGCATGATTGTCTTCTGTGTATAATTTGTGATCAAATATCCTAGTGGTTTTATGAGGGAAAATAGTACAGATGTTTGTTTCAACTTAAAAGATAGAGTTAAAGACCACTTTGGTGGGATCCCTGGGTGGCTCAGCGGTTTAGGGCCGCCTTCAGCCCAGGGTGTGATCCTGGAGACCCAGGATCGAGTCCCACGTTGGGCTCCCTGCGTGGAGCCTGCTTCTCCCTCTGCCTGCATCTCTGCCCCCCCCCACCCCCCGTCTCATGAATAAATAAATAAAATCTTAAAAAAAAAAAAAAGACCACTTTGGTTAGAAAACGTTTATCACAGGAGTCGTAAGCATGAGAAGTATGTTCTCGTAATGGAGTATGATTCTTTCCTGCCTCTTTTTCCTGCCTCTCGTTTCCTTGAGGCGAAGCCAGACCCTCGCAGCACTGCATCGTTTGCTTCCCCAAATGAAGCATGGCTTACTGTGAACGATGACCACGTGACGGCTGCTCTGTTGATGTAATTTCAGTTTATTGTCAAGACCAAATGAGCTTTGCATGCATTATTTTCTCTATTTCCTTCTATTTCATTTCTTTCAGAAACTAAATACAACTTGACAAATGTTAATTTGTCAACAACAACAAAACACTTTTTTCTTTTTCTGCCTTTTTTCTTCCTGGACTTAAAAGAAGCATGGGGTTCTTTAGTTCCACGGTACTTTTTATTTATTTATTTCTTTGGTACTCTTGCCCATGCAGTCAATTTATAATCTATCCTAGACTGCCATCCATTTAACAGAAGCCTTTTGGGGAAAAAGAAAATGCTGCAGCAGTAATAGTACATGCTCACTATCAAATGAACTCTCAAACATCCCAGATATTTTTAAAAGTTTCAAAATAAACATTTTAGAATTATATGGCCGCCTAATAGCCCTCAGCTACCCTATAAAATTGAATGATTAGTACCATTTACAAATTGAGAAACTGAGACTCGGGCCTTTTAAGTGAAGTGTTTGGTGAAGTGATGTACTTAACATCACATGGCTAGTAAATCTCCCAGATTGCTAAAAGTCATTCTAAGTAAGAGCGCATTCATGCCCCTTGATTTATAGTATGATTTTAAAACTGCATATGGAGGGATCCCTGGGTGGCGCAGCGGTTTGGCGCCTGCCTTTGGCCCAGGGCGCGATCCTGGAGACCCGGGATCGAGTCCCACGTCGGGCTCCCGGTGCGTGGAGCCTGCTTCTCCCTCTGCCTATGTCTCTGCCTCTCTCTCTCTCTCTCGCTCTCTGTGTGACTATCATAAATAAAAAAAAAAAAAACTGTATATGGAAACCCATCAGTCACGAAATGAATATTATTATAGGTTTTGGCAAATTTTATTTTTGTTACTTTGAAATTTACTTGGACATTTTCAATGTCACGTTATCTATTCAATGTTCATGAAATCATATTTGATAATATATTTTTATTTTGTTATTCATACTAAGGATAAATGTTTTCCCTAAAGCTCTTTCCTGATATGCATATATTGGATCTCAGTGTTTTTCTTATTGCTAACAAGTGAAAAAAATCAAGGAAACACTGACTACTGTACTATGGATGCCTTCCAGACTCTCAGTAAATGTTTGTTTATTTTTATCACAAATTTCTTGCTTTTCGGAAGATGTCTGGATTTTTTGTTAGTATAGTTAACAGATCGAATCCTCTCCTTAATTACAAGATACTTTTGTTGTAACTGACAGCTTTTATCAGTTGTCTGGTGGCTCTGTCTGCCGTTACCGGTTCACAGGGTTTGGGATGTAACATTGTCATTTCTTTCCAGTTTCCTGGGTTCCACCTCTGTCTGGCATTTGTGATTGTAGTGTCCTTCTGGGCCTTGACAGCCTAGGGCTCTCTCTGGCTTCTGCATCCACTGAATAGTCCAGAGAGCTGTGGGTTGGAAGTCTGGAGACCTCAGTTCTCCTCTTGGATGTGCTATGAACTTGCTTTTTGCCTTTGGGCAAGTTACTTAGCCTGTCTGAGCCTCAGCGCCTTCTTTATTAAACAAGGAAGGTGAATCAGATGATTTCAAAAGCCCTAAACGCTTTAATAATCTGAGTCATCGATTACTCTGGTGGTATTACTGAGCCCTATAACAGAATACAAGATAGTAATAGTGGAGTCAGGCTTACAAATACGTGGATGGGCCACTAGTGTTTCCTTGTGTGTTATATGAAGTTTTGTGTGGAAAAATTAAAACCCTTTCCTTTTAGTGACATTTTCTAGAAGGCTTTCAACAAATGAATGCCATTACTATTCCGTCTCTGTACCCTTTTCCCCATGCCAGAAGGATGGTTCCTTTGGCCGTAGTAACGGTAGTAATTTGTTGAAAGCCTTCTAGAGAATGTCACTAAAAAGAAAGGGTTTTAATTTTTTCCATAAGGTGAAGTAAAATTTGTTTCTAGTTTGGATAAACCAGGAGAATATAACCTCAAGTCATGAGTTCCTCGGGTTTTTGTCAGAACCAGCTCACGGTCCTGAAAATGAATTTCGCAGACTTACTGATTTAGAGACTTGTTCTTTCTCAAAGGAGTGGACTTAAGAATCTTTGCAAACAGCCTGAATTTATGAATGTGTTTACTGAAGAGAGATTCTCTGCTATAACTTTTTTCTTGTGTTCTAGTCACAGCAACTTAACTGATGGATTCCTCCATACATACCTTCTCCCTGGAGAGATTTCTTTCATTTCTTATTGTTAGTGGTATTTCCGAAATCTTTTTAAAAATCTAGTATTTCAGAATCCTAGCAGAAAAACGATATTTTGTGCATTTATTGCTATAATCATCATTATCAAAAACCTGATACCTTTTTTCTTACCCAAGTAACACATGGACGTATTCTCACTCTAAAAGAGTCAAACAGTAACATTTGTATTAGCAAAATATGTATGTGTCTGATTTCTTCATATATTTTTCTCCTCAGGTTGTGTGGTGTGGTAAAGCATGTTGTGAACCCCTCAGAATGTTCCTCTCCCGAGAGATGCATCTTAGCCTACCTCTATGATCTCTATGTGTCATGTAGCCACCTCAGAAGTAAATTTGGAGACCTCTTCAGGTGGGTAGAAGAAAATCAACAGGAATAGGATCATGCCTGTATTTGGTAGTAACCCACCCAACATTGTCATCCTTTTTAATAATGAAAGTTAATCCTGATCACATCTGCCAGAGTTCATACTGAATTATCTTTCATTGTTCCTTTAATCTCCTATTACTAAATATTTATGCACATTTAGCTATGATTGCAATTCTGAGATACACTTGAGGAACTTTCTGCCTTTTGCACTTGGGTAGTACCTCACTTGGAATGTGGTTTCCCTGCTGTTTGCATCCTTACTTTCTCACCACCTTTGCTTCTCTGCTTCCTTGACCATCCTATTTCAGAGGGTGTCCCTGAGTGGGCGTCGTTCTCTGCATGCTAGCGCTTGCTCTACCCCCACGAGTAGTCAGGGGCTGGAAAGTGCATATTTATTGAATGTTATTTTGAGGAAATTTTGATTATTAATTGTAGGCGGTGGTAGGAAGGGGTACGCTAATAGCTGCAGAGTACATTTGTCATCTAGAAAGAAGTAAGGAAAGAACTATCAGTTACGGGTATTTGTAAAATCTGTGAGCTTTGTCTTCTATGAGGTTTGTGTCGAGTGTGACTGCTAGTCCTTGCTTTGTTACCACCACCGTCCCTCCATCCCTTGGTTGGACTATTGCAGAGTCCTACCTGGTTTCTCTGCTTATATGCCTGACTTCCTTAGCATATTGTTGGCATATCTACTCATCGTTTTAAAACAGGAATACCTTGACGTTTTCTAGTGGTTTATTACCTACACAGAATAAAATTCAGAGTCCTAACCTAGCCTTCAGGATCCACTGAATCCAGTCTCCACTTGTCTCTCTTCCACTCTGTTTACTCCACTCTGACCACATCGACCTCCTTCCTGGTCTTCACATCCTGTAAGCACACTCCCATCTTGGGGCTTTTGTACTGGCTGCTACCCCGCTGGTGATCTTTCCCCTCTCTCGCTTACATGTCCTTGCACACAGTGCATTCACGGGCATGTACCTCTACCTCCCTGCCCACCTGCTTTAAATAGCATCCTCTTCCCCCTACTCTCTGTCATTCCCTGAACCTTAATACTTACTACCCCTGGGTGAATTACATGTGGATTTATGGTCTAGCTTCCTCCTAGAATGTAAACTTTGTGAAAGGAGGAACTTTGCTTTGCTTTACTGCCATATCCTGTACCTTGAAGAGCATTTGGCTTCTAGCAAAAACCTGCTAAATGAAAGATAAATCCAAAAGAAATAGCCAGGAGCCAGGATAGCCAGAGCCAGGATACCTTTAATGGTATCGAAAGGGAAAAAAATGGGAGGTCAGGTCATCATGAAATGCCTAGATTTCCAAATAACCCTCCGTAAAACATTTGAGTGGGTCTTAGGTAACATCTTTCTGCAAAATGATGCAATAAGCATAGTACCCTACATCCTTACTTTACAAACAGCTTCATTTTCAGTTTACGGTTTTCACAGCACTTTCTCATACATAATTTGGTTCTTGCAATACCCGAAGAGTGAACTTCCCAAGAAAGTCCCGGTAGCCTGTTTGACCCCTAGTGCTCCCGTAGGGTAGTGCAAATTGTAACCTAAGTGAATGTGAGTAAGGTACCCTCGGTGTATGGGGGTTTAGGAGACCAACAGGGAGCTGAGGGTCAGCACAGTGTCGCATCACAGGGAGTGGCTCTGGCTTATGTTTCCTCAGTTAAAGATCCAGTAAGCCAGTGTGGCTCTCAGGAAGCCCTGAGGTCAGGCATTATTTGTGGATTGGGACTAAGAAGAATGGCCAAATAAAAGCTAGCTGCTCAGCGAGAATCCTATCAGTATGCTAATTAAACAGTTTGAATAATTAGATCTCAAGGAGCGTCTGTAACATTGTGCAAGAGGATTACAGTGGGGAAATAGAGCAGGGGTCACATCTTGCGCTGTGTACCCAGGGCTGCACACAGTTCTTTCCATCGAGATCTTTAAGCCTCCCCTGCCTTCACAGGAAGTAGAAATGACTGTTCCCATCAACAAGTGACTATTTCTCATCGTAAGTTAATGAATAATGGAGCCTAGATTCATATATAAGTCCTCCTGGCCTCAAAGTGTGTGTTGCTTTTATTACTCTGTCAGGTTTTTCAGGTACAGGCAATCTCAGAAGGAAAATGTCTGAGTTGTTGCCTTCGTTTCATATATGTCTGCAACAGAGAGGGGTAAGAATTTGAGAGTGACCTAGAAAGCAGCTAATGTTTTATTAAAGCTCGGAAGCGCATCTGGAAAGAGTGTAATAAATGGAACAGGAAGCCTAGAAATGAAGCATAAGGAGACTTCACCATAAGCCACAGAATTCAGAAAAATCCTGCATCGTAGGCTGGAGGTGTCAGAGTCAACTGGAGAGAAGTCTCCAGACTGAAAGAAAAGTGGGGGCTGAATCTTGTAACAATTGGGAAAGTCAAGTAGACTTCTTCTGGTTTCTAATAGACATAGACAGATTGGTAGAAGTAGGGAGGAAACCGACAGTGCTTTACTATTTGCTGAAGTCTGATTCATAATTTAAAATGACACTCAGGGTGTGGAGAGGTGGAGAGAACCAGCAAAGAGCAGAGTTTGTTTTTGTTTCATTTTTAATGAGAAAGTGAAATGAATTAAGAACTACTGCTGAGGGAGAATGAGTGAAAAGTCAAGTAGAAAATGGGGCAAGAGTTAGGGGAGGAAAAAGGGGGAGACGTTTAAAAGCCCTGGGGACTGACACGTTCATCATTTTGAATGAGCCCTACTGCAGATTGCGAGCTGGCCTCCTTCGGGGACAGCCGACACCGTTCCATAGAGGTTGTCTGCCGAGAAAGAGAGCAGAGAGGGCCAGAACTGCTGTGGGGTGGTGGGTGGCTTTGGTCCTGTCTGCCAGACCCGAAATGCCCCGAACATTAAGTTGGCCTGAACACCCTCTAAGGGGGACTCTTCTCTCGGGATGCATTACAGTTGCTGCCATTGAGTCTGCCCTTAAATGAAACCGCTTTCCAGTTATTCTAGTTTTGTTTTGTTTTAACTCTTCTCCTTGTAACCTCAGTAGTGCCTGTTCAAAAGTTAAGCAAACCATATATAATAATGTGATGCCTGCAAATTCTAACTTGAGATGGGATCCGGACTTCATGATGGATTTCATTGAGAATCCTTCAGCTCGTAGCATCAATTACTCAATGCTGGGCAAGATCCTCAGCGACAACGCGGCCAATCGCTACAGCTTCGTCTGTAACACGCTCATGAATGTATGTATGGGCCACCAGGATGCGGGAAGGTGAGCCGGCTTACCTGGAATTCACATCGAACAACCCACTCGTTGCCTTGGTGTTACTTTTAAACTGATGTCGTTGGCGATTGCCTGGGCTGACATTTGGATGTTGTCTGCTTTTTGTGTCCCCCCCCCCCATTTATTCCAGAATTTCTTTCTGCTCTATACTGTGATTTCCTTTGCCTGACAGGCCATCCTGGCTGCATTGCTCTGGCATGAGATGCTTTTGATGTAAACTCTAGGTTACCGATCTACTCCTAAAAACGTATATAATACGTAATGTTTTTATTCAAGCACAAATAAAAGAGACTTAGATCGGGGGCATCTGGGTGGCTCAGTTGATTTGGCCTCTGACTTGATTTTGGCTCAGGTCATGGTTTCAGGTGCTGAGATCGAGCCCTGTGTTGGGTCCGGGCTCAGCATGGATCCTGCTTCTCTCCCTCCCTCTCCGCCTGCCCTTCCCCCTGCTCATGTGCAATCAGTCAATCAATAAAATTTAAAATGGAGGGTTTTGTGTTGTGTGTGTGTGTGTGTGTGTGTGTGTGTTTTAAGAACACTCTCTTTTGGCCTACCTAAATTACATTGTGTCTGTAATTTCTTTTTTTTTTTTTTTTTTTTGATGCCTCTAAAAATGTAAATTTGTAAGTCAGGTTTGTTCTCAGAACAAAAATATGGTAATTGGCATCTGTACTGATTTTGCTTAACTAAATATTAGAAAACCTTTGAAGCCAGTTACTTTTATCTTTGGTTCCAGGTTCTACTTGGTTATTTAACAAGTGGGTATTTATTAAATCTTTGAATCTTAGAAATGAATGGCCTGTTTGATGGTAGTAAGGTATGTGTTCATTAAGTTCTACTTCTCTCTTGTTACTTTTTACTATTTTCTTTTTCCTCTTCCTAGGATCAACGACATTGCCAATTTCTCCTCGGAGCTGACAGCTTGCTGCACTGTTCTTAGTTCAGAATGGCTGGGAGTTCTGAAGGCTCTTTGTTGTTCTTCAAATCATGTGTGGGGGTTTAATGATGTGCTTTGCACTGTGGATGTAAGTTTTCTTTTTCATGTAAAAACTCATCTGTGCAATTAAATAGTTAGTAATTCTTTTTAATTGACTTAACCCTTACCTGAGATAGAAGATATTTATTTTTCTTTTTCTGCCCAAAAGCAATAAACGAGATTGCAGTTGCCAAGGATTAAATAAAAGAAAAAAAAAACCTGAAATATATACAATAGCTTAATCTACAGCAGAGATGCCAAGCGTTTCCCTGTTTCTTAGCTGAGATTTCTTACATACAGTCTCTTCAGGGTTGTCCTTTCACACTGTTTACCAAGTGCCTCGGGCTCCTCATGGTAAAAGACATAATTTGCCTAAGGCAGTCTACGTTTTGCAGAGAACCAGTTTGTTTTTTAAAGATCAAGGTGCATTCTATGAATACAGGTTTTACTGTGTTGCCTCAGAATGTCCTGGCCCACATTCATTGGCATGTTCAGTCTTTTTAGTGATCGTGTCTGGAACTTGATAAAGAGATACCCAGGATACATCACTGGTTTTCCTTTACGTATATCCATGATGTGTATATTTCTTAAAAATCTGTCACGATTGTCTGTTTTCTCCTATCGCTTCTTGGAGTGATTGTGTTTTGTGTTAATGTGTCTTCTGTGTAGAAGATGTTTATGCATTTTAAAAACCACCTTCCAGTTAGAGGTTTACTTTCTAGTTCTAGTATCTCAGGATAGAGAATTCTACTGCATTCTCTCAGGTACCCAAAGTTTTATATATATAAAAACTGATACCAGTGACCTGGTTTCCCAGTCAGGTGAGATCCCAGTTTTTATCTTTAACATCATTCCTTAATGTCTCGGTTGTTTTCTGTTCTACTGTCCCTTTGCTTCGCTCCTTCATCTGCAAAATCAGGATTCATAATAGTGTGAGCCTCATGGTGGTGTGCTGTTAAATGAGGCGGTTTTTGTAAATCACTAACCACAGTTATTGGCATATAGTACAACTTAATATGTAGGCTGCTGTTATGAGTGTTTTTTTATTACCGTTCTCTTCCAGAGTCTTGTGAGGTCTGTATTGGTAGAGTTTTCGTTGGGAATGAATTAATTTTCCTTCTCTTCTTTTTTTTTTTCACATTTTTTCCCTTTCTCTTTCTCTCAAGGTTAGGGGTCAGTTGGAAATTTTCAGAGTTGTTAAAACTAGTTCAATTACGCTATAGAGTCATTAATAATTATCCTTGAAAAGAACTCTAAAACCTTAATGAGGCTTATTTTTTATTTAGAGGAGCTACCGTGTTTTTCCTTTGCTCCCTAATGATCTTACCCTTCAATGACAAATGATGCCATATTCTGCTAAGAAGTTTTATTTGCACTACGTCTTTTAGGAATTTCTTGGTTTTTGTTTTTGTTTTGTTCGATTATACATACTCTAGAGAAAACTCAGTATCTCCTGTTAGGTTAGGATTTAGGTAATCCTCATTCTTTGTCTTACAAAGTAGAAATAGTCCTTACAGGATCATGAGCCTGATATGTTCTCATTTCACTCTATTGGTTCATTTTGGGATTTTAGATCTTACTGGTATTGCCTACATTCACTTAGATATTAATCTTGGATGTTACTTGAAAGGGTGTTAGGTATTAAAACATGTCAATGTTTTTCTTGAAGGTGAGTGACCTTTCATTCCATGATTCATTAGCTACTTTCATTGCTATTCTGATAGCACGACAGTGTTTCTCCCTGGAGGACGTCGTGCAGCACGTCGCGCTTCCTTCTCTCCTAGCAGCAGGTACGGCACTTCCAGAACGGCCCTTGTGATTTGATGGTTGTCTGGGGGTGGTTTCTAGCTAGTACAACAGTAAACATACTGTTTCAGGGTCCATGGCATCAGCCAGTGGTGTGACGTTGAGGTAAAGGTCTTAGTATGGTCAGTGCAGTTCTATACAAAGTCAAAGGGATCCCTATGGAAAAGGTGGTTTTTACGGAAGCCCTCTGGTTTCTCGAAAAAGCAGAAAAAGCATAGCGTAGTTCCTTAACTTCTTAATGTAAGGAGCATTTACATTTAAATTAGTCCAGGTAAGTTAGCTTAATGGGAAACCTGAAGACCTATCCTTGAATAAATTAGAAAACTTGCTCTTAAAATCTTTCCTAGCTTGTGGAGATGCAGATGCTGAGCCTGGGGCAAGAATGACATGCCGACTCCTGCTTCATCTCTTCCGAGCTCCCCAGGCCTGCTTATTACCTCAAGCAACCGGTGAGCTGACAGCTGAAAAACCTCTGATTACATTTTCTTTTGGAGGTAGAGATTCTAAAATGACCATTTTGTCATTTCCTTCCTGATTTGGGTTGAGCTTGCTTTTGCAGGTGAGGAAGGAATGCAGTAATGCCCCTGAGAGGGCCGTCAGCACCTTTGATTTATGCAATATCAGGATGTATTGAGAAACTCAAATCAGGAGTTAATAAACAATAAAAATACTTTTGCTCTTAGGCCGAGCCATGCTGGTGGGCAGCTTGATCCTCTCATCTACTATGTATGTTGGTTATGAACCACATCATAGCAGCTTAGGGCAGGGATGATTCATTTTTTTCTTTTACTAACGTAAAAGGAAGAAGATAAGAGGTCTAGGAGTGTTAGTGGAGTGTGTTTCCAAAGGTCATTTCCATACAGGGGTATGTGTGTGTGTGTGAGAATCAACGTACAACGTAGATGAAAGTCCTTATTGTTTTGATCCGTCTCTCTAGGGAGCAAAGACGTTTTAATAATTAAAAAGAGAATTTTAAGAAAGGAATACTGACAGCATTTCTTAGTGAATCCTTGAAGCATCGATTAAAGCTAGCTGATGGCAGTTAAGGACACATAGTCTAAGAGTCAAAGACTCTACTGATTGTAAATGGTTAGGAAAGATTGTTAGTGACGGTCATGAGACCATTCAAAGTTGCTGCTGTTCTCCTCCTAGGCAAACCTTTCCCTGGAATAAGATCATCTTGTGATAGACACCTCTTAGCCGCTGCTCACAACAGCATTGAAGTGGGAGCCGTGTTTGCTGTTTTAAAAGCGATTATGATGCTTGGTAAGACTATCCTGGCACTAAACGTGGTTAATCACCAGAAACAGAGGAAAAATAATTTATATTCAGGATCAACTCTAATTCACATTATTAGCAACATGGTTTGGTTTGACTTGGTTTGGTTCTCCTGGCAAAATTAGTTGGCTTTCTCCAAGTACAAGATCAGTTGGACTTGAATTGTCTGCTCCTTACCTATAGTTCTCAGGGACTTTAAATATAATACTTTTTATTTTTGGATGACATTTTAACTACAGGATATTTTGTTTGATATAATAGAGATCTCAGACCCACAGGTTGGTTTTATCTTTATTTGTTGGCATAAGTCACATTTTATGAAGGACACAGATGCCACGGTGATCTAACCAAAGGTTGAACTGTTTTATTATATATCAGGAGTAGAACACCAGAAAACCTGGATTTTAATCTTAATGTCTCTGCTCCTGTTGTGACCCTGAACAAGTATATAAACTTCTACTTTAGCTTTTTCATAAATCAGGTAGTAATTGCAATAATGTCAGTATTATTGGCAAATCAATGTTAGACGTCAGGATTTTAAAAAGTTTAATCCATAATTTCCAAGATGTCCATCATACTCTTAATGGCATATCCATTCCTGGGGTGGTAGTTCTGCATTTTCTGTTCATTTATAGTGTAATACTTTAAGGCGTTTTTATTCTATAAATTGTTCAGGATTTGAATGAGTAGTAAGTCTTGAGTCCACACTGCCTAATTCCAACTGTGGCAACCCTCTTTTGGCCTTGACTTAACAAATGTCTTATGTTCTGAAGGAGCTCTCTTTGATTAGAACAGAAAGTAGATAGGCATCATTTTAGAGGAGTCCTAAAGAACATTATAATTTGTACTCCTGTTTGAATGTTATTTGGTGATGATGAAACATAACGGGATTTCCATTTAAAAATTATTTAAAAAAGTTCACGTTAAAAAAAAAAGTTCACCTTAAGAGAATATATATATACATATACATATTTACGTATGGTATGTAATTTTTTCAGTAGTTTAAAGGTTGGAGAAAACATAATTATATATGCATTATATATATCTCAAATGCCTTGGAAATGCCTATAATATTATTGCAGTAAAAGAGAAAGGTAGGGCCACGTGGAGGGCCATGCCTCATTTCTGAGTTTAGGAGCTTATAGTATTAAACAACCAACAGTAAATGCTCTTTTCAGTAAGTAAAATTTCTCTCCTCTGATCATGTTTGAAAAGAAAATGGCTGGTCAGTCTACTTAAATAAATGTAGGGACCATGAAGTTAGGGACTTGCTTTTTATTTTATTTTTTTTTCAAACTGTGGTATCTCTAATATGCCCATCAGAGAAACTAGACAGGTTTTGAAATAGTAGCTTTTCAACAAGCTAATGTTTGGAGTGCGACTGCAGAGGGGATAGACACTGAATGGCAGAAAGCATGATGAGGGCCGTCGAGGCCCTTGCCCCTTCATTTGGAGGACTGGTCCAGTTTTGTTTTTTTTTTTAAAGGTCTAACTTTATTTATTTTTAAATTTTTATTTATTTATGATAGTCACAGAGAGAGAGAGAGAGAGGCAGAGACACAGGCAGAGGGAGAAGCAGGCTCCATGCACCGGGAGCCCGACATGGGATTCAATCCCGGGTCTCCAGGATCGCGCCCTGGGCCAAAGGCAGGCACCAAACCACTGCGTCACCCAGGGACCCCAAGGACTGGTCCAGTTTTAACTAAAATTTGCCAACCTCTTTAAGGAGTCACAGAATTGTATTTTAATATCCATGTCTAATAACCATTCATCTTTGATTGGCTTTCCTTGACTTTTTTTTTTTTTTTTAAATTCTTCTCAGTTCTTGTTAGAGAATGCTTCAGGTCTGAGAAGTCACAATCAGGTCATTGGATGTCAGGAGAGCCTTGGACTAGGTAGTCACTAAACACTTCTCTATTCTGTTACTTGCACAGTTACAGAAGTTTGTGGCACAGTCTCCTATACCTTCTCTGTCATCCTAACATCTATACTAAATGAGAATCTGAATGAGGATTTCCTAGGCAGAGGTGTTTGTTTCTCTGATTTTGTTTTTACAGAAGTTTTAATTTCTCTACTTCACCCTGTCCTTACCAATGTTCTCTCAAGTCATGTCCACCAGGATCTATTTTGAATTTGGGAGATAAAACTGTTATATAGGAATTGGTTTTTAATTTATGCAGTAGTTTAACATAAGGTGTGGATATAGTTGTTTATATCCCCAAAAGTTGGGGAAAGTGTGCTAAATTTTGGGACGTATCTTTCAGCTCCCAACGAGCTCTGTTGAATTAAATAAACTCGTGGGTGAAAAATTGGTACTTTTTCTATTGTGTATTTTAATGAGGAATGTTTGATAATATATAATAAGATATTGCTATTTGAAAAGTATTGTTTTTCCCCCCCTCCTCTTACGATTTTATAAATAAGTTTTCACTAAGCCATTCTGATTTTTTAAATTTTTCAGCAGAGTCAAAACTTTTTCTTGGTTGACCTGTGGGTTTTAAAAGGCTTTTTGCACTGAGCTGGGCTTGATTTTACTCCTAGTGGGCAGTGAGTGGGCCTCATCTAAAGTCATTTGTTGGTTCCAGGAAATTTTCTCGTTCAAGATTTACAATCCTTTGGGTAAACAGGCAAAAGTTGAGAGGCTCTGTTGTCATTTGGCAGTCGTTATTACCAAATTATATTCTCTCCCTTTTAAAATATGACAGTGATTTTGTCTTTCACAGCTAGAGGAGATTTCTTATTTCCAGCTGTTCAGATGTTCCGCTCCATTTTGTCCCCAAACACTTGGTTATGAGGGAAGCCCTCTCCTTAGTTTCATGTGACTCAGTATAGGAGAGGTTGATGTGCTGAGGTTCTCTAATTTGGATGTTTACAGAGAGGAAAGTGAGAGGCTTGGGTTATTCAACGAGTGCCCTATGTTTAGGGCTTCCTTAGTATGCATTGCCCTTTTCCATTCCCAGGGATATAATCTCTCTTGTCAAGAAGTTGATAGTAAGGTGGGCTAAGGCAAAACTTTTCTCTTGACCTATGGATAGAAAATAAGTCATTGTAAGAGAAGAAATGGAAAAGGGACACCTAGAAGGGTGAGTAACCCATTTTTTCCTTGTCTATAAGTCAAATGAATTTGAATATTGAATACATGTGTGCTTGAAATATTGGTGGAATCAGTGTTCTCTAATTATGAAGAATGATTCCTAATGGCCTTTCTAAGTTGAGTGAACACGTACTTGATTCTGTAAACAAAATAAGGGATATGTCTTGAATATGCTTTTTTGCCATGTCCAGTGAAACTTCTCTGGGCTCTTGCATTTGTTCTCTAGATCCTCTCTCTCTCTCTCTCTCTCTCTCTCTCTCTCTCTCTCTCTTTTTCTCTCTCTCTCTTTCACTGAACAACGGGCTGTGCCATAATGATGGCATTCACATATTTTAAATCCCTGAAGGCTTGCTTCATTTACTTCTCAAGGATTTGGCAATATTTTGAACTTCTGTGATTTTGCTTTTGTGGTTCTATTATTTAGGAGATGCCAAAATTGGCAATAACAATGTCAGCTCTTTAAAGAATGATGACTTCACCATGAGGGGTTTACGACGTGATGGGAATGCGGATGATATCTGGACTGCCTCACAAAATTCAAAATCGTGTGGGAAAAGCATTTCCATAGAAACTGCCAATTTAAGAGAATATGCTAGATATGTACTGAGGACTATCTGTCAACAGGTATTTTTCAGATTTAATTTGCCTTTAACTTTGAATATATAATTGTTCTTGGGAGAGAAATGCTCAGTGTTATTGGAAACTTGCATATGGGGGGATCCTTTCTGCTAACTTTATTTGGAAATCAAATTTGTTGAAAAGTTGCAATAATATTGAAGAACTCTAGGATATGTGCTCTTTATGCAGATTCACCAGTTTTTTACATTTTGTCACATTGCTTTATGATTCTCTCTCTCTCTCTCTCTATCTATCTCTCATGAATAAATAAAAACCTTTAAGAAATATCAAGAAATTTACTGTGGTCCAGTAATTTTTTCTCACCTACAGGCCATATTCAGTTTTGTCAGTTGTCCCAATAATGTTGAATTTGTCTGAAATTTCCCTTAGATTAGCTTCAGATTACACATTCTTGGCCAAGATGCTACAGAACTAATACTGTGTTCTTATAGGGCAGTCATGCCTAAAGACACATGGTGTCCATTTGTACCTTACTGGCACCGATCATTTTGATCAAGGTGCCTCCATCGTATGGTTTCAAGATTGCACTGAAATAGTTACCATTTTTATTCCTTGCAATCAGTAAATAGTCTTCAGGGAGACATTTTGAGATAATGCAGATATCCTGCTCCTCATCAAACTCCACCACCTGTATGGCATTCATTTTAATTCTTGTCTAAATTAGTCTTTATATGAGGGTTCCAAAATGGGGATTGTTTTTGCCCCCAACTCCTTTAGAGTTAATGATTTGCATTCTACTCTAAGAAAAGCCTACCCTTATTTTTTCCCCCTTATTCCTAGTTGTTTTCCATATGGATTATAATATACTGTCCTTAGTTATTTTCATGTTCAAATTATCTCAGATTTGTCCAGTGGGAACCTAGTCACACTGGCTTTTAAGTTGTTTTGACATGTGCCCCCCCCCCCGCTCCCAGTAACATCAACCATTTACTCTTTAACTTAATTCTGCACTATACCTGAAATAGTTTTCAGAATTGCTACATTTATACCATTAGGAAAAAATGACAAAGAGTTGAAGATTTGCTTATAGTTCTTTTTTTCCCCTAAAGGTTTACAGTATTGTGTTAAAAAGGTTTTTGAACTTTCTCCTTTAATATGGATGTTATTCATTTGAAATAGAATTGGTTTCATTTGTTTCTGTTTGCATTCAGTTTAGATCCCCCTTTTCCTCCTCCTCACCTCAGCTCTGCTTTAGACTAGGATGTTTCTACAAGTCAGCTGCACATAAAGGTGTACTCAGAGATGTGTCCTTTGTCCCTTGTCTTTTCCATCCTGTGTTTTATCTGCCTTTGGTGATCAGTTTTATTATTTTTGGATTTATCTTCCTTTTTTTCCTTTTAGTTTCTCTTTTCTTATAAAAGAAAGAAAACATGGCATACCATACAGGCTGTTTTCCATTTTTTTTTTCCATTTTGATGGAGACATTATGTTAACAGTGTCATGTTTTTATCAGAGCATATTGTAATTATAGTAAAAGTTCACTAAATAGTCATATAGATAATGAGAGGCAATGTGCATTGGTTTCCAACCAGTATCGTCAAGGGTCAAACAATTTTAATGCCTGAAAAATATTACTGATGTATGAGTCCCACCGTCAGATATGTATTTGATGGGGCCTGGGCATTTGATTTTTAGCAAGCTCCCCAGATGACTTTAGTAGATACTCAGCATTGGGCTACTGGTGTTTAAGAAACAGGCCTCTTCTGAAACAGTTCTGGGTTCAAACTGGGCTCTGTTGATGATTTCTTCCTTCTACAGTACACGTGTTTGCCTTTGAAACAATGTTAAAGAAAGGGTGATGGGGTTTAAATTGGTAGAAACTCTCTGGAGGGCAGCTGGCTATATGAACCAATAGTTTTAAATTTTGGTATACTCCTTGACCCAGCAATTAATTGTACTTTTATGAAATTATCCTAAGAAATTTATTGTATAGAAAGTAGATGTGCAGACATTTATAATAACATTTATAATAATATAAAAAATGAAGACAGTTTTCTAAATATTTTACTCTCTTCTTTCTATTCAGTAGAATATTGTATGTGTGACATGAAAACACCTCTTATAACAAAGAATCATTACCATTATACAACAATATTTTCTTTACTATCTTTAGCTTTCTTTTCTTTCCCTTTTTGGCATACTGGCTTTCCAAACGTTTTTAAACCACTTTGTATTTTTAGCAAACCAAAATACCAGAAATTTTGTTTTTCAGACTTTTCCACCTACTTTTCTCATGTAATTGTTTTTTAATTGGAAGATTTTTGTCTGCTTTATATTCCATTGTGCACCATGATTTAGTGCACAACACGGGTCGCATATAGAAAGTCTCTGCCTGTCAATCTAACTGCCGATTTTTTCTTTAGGAATGGGTAGGAGAGCATTGCTTAAAAGAACCGGAAAGATTATGCACAGACAAAGAGCTTATATTGGACCCTGTGCTTTCAAATATGCAAGCACAGAAATTACTGCAGCTTATCTGTTATCCTCATGGTATTAAAGAATGTACGGAGGGCGACAACCTGCAAAGACAGCATATTAAGCGTATTCTTCAGGTGAGTGATTAGAGTCTGAAGATTCTGTTCCTGTCATGTAACACTTTTTTTTTTTACCCCCTCTGTGCTAATTAAGTCTTGACTTCAATTCTGATTTTTATTCTCCTAATTTTCTTTTCTGTGTAATTGCTGCACTTCATTGATAGGTACATATAGATACTGCAAATGCTACACTAACGTAGTATAAATGTTGATGTTTTAAGTCTATTATATTTAGATGAGACTTAAGCTTTCTGGAGGGATAGTCTTAAATATATTATTCAAAAAGTACTGAAGTTATTTTGGAATGGGATTGCTTAGATACATAGGTTTTGAGAGAAGAAATCCTTGTATTATTTCCAGTGCCTGGCTGAGTAAGTGCATTATTTTATTTTATTTATATATTTTAAAAATATTTATTTTTGAGAGAGAGCGAGAATGACTGAGCAATTGAGAGAGAAAACAGATGCAGAGGGAGGAGTAAAGGGAGAGGGAGAAGCAAGCTCCCCACTGAGTAGAGAGCCCAACATAGGACTCAATCCCAGGACCCCTGGGATCATGACCTGAGCTGAAGGCAGACACTTAACCAACTGAGCCACACAGGCACTATAGATGTGCATCATTTTAATGTGTTTTTGTTTTTAATTTTTTTACGTCTACAATAAATGTATGTGGTGGACCTGGAAGCCTTTTTGATCTCTACAAATTCCTTTAATCTGCACGATTATTCTCTTCTTTCTTGAGAGAGGGAATACTGCAAGGATTTAATATATTTATTAAAGATCCATTAAGTATCCTTAATGTGTTAATTCTTTCCATTTCCCCAGAACCTTGAGCAGTGGACACTAAGGCAGTCCTGGCTAGAACTCCAGTTAATGATCAAACAGTGCTTGAAGGACCCTGTGAGTATATATTGGAAGCATGTGTTATGTATGCAAAATTTTGTGAACTGCATGATCACGTTGATGTTTGAAGATGAAGTAAAATGTATGCATGCTAGTTTCCTTATGTGTAACTCCAGGGCTCTGGTTCAGTGGCTGAAATGAACAACTTACTGGACAATATTGCCAAGGCAACAATAGAGGTATTCCAGCAATCCGCTGACTTGAACAATAATTCTTCTAATTCTGGAATGGGCCTCTTCAACCCAAATGGCATTGGAAGTACTGATACAGGTAGCACGAGGCAGAATGGAATAAAGACATTTCTAAGGTATTTTTTTTCCTGCAGTTTGATTGGGTTGTCATTACTTTTTCACATGTAATGGCATATTTTTATTTGCACGATGCAGTTAATTTTTCATAAAGCTGCAGCGATGTGGAATTACTTGTGTCAGCTACCATTATTTAACAATATATTAAAGGGCATGATGACGAATAATATCTCAGTGTTTACCACATCCGCCCTCCTTGGAACCACATATGACACACAGAAGGGATTAATTTCTTTATTGTCTCTTTATGGCTACTCTGTTCTGTAGAATTCAGTATATAGGAAACACTTTTCCTGCCATCTTTGTTAATTGGCAGTGTTGCACAAGTAATAATCATGTTAGGCAGAGTGATTTATATTTTGTCATTTGGGTATAAAGTATAACTAGTGAATTTTGAAACCTTAAAATTGGTTATTAATATGCTTATTAAGCATAGTCGGTAAATTTCATATCTTAACTATGACAGTAAAGTGTGTTGCTTATACAAAAGGAGTGTTGCCAATCAGAGAGCTAGAATCATCAAAAAACACTTGCATAGTCTTAAAAAGTTTAGTTATGTTATTCCCTCATAACCCCACATTTTATTTCTTTCCATAGCAAGAGTGGAAAAGTATGTTCAACTCTTTGGTATTTGGGGAGAGGAAAGATAGTACAGAGATAAAGGGGAAATTTTAGGGTACCTGGTGCTCCTTATGCATGAAAGTTTTGCCCTGCAGTTTCTGTAATAACTGTGAGAGTAGAGAAAAAGGACACCTCCTTAGGTCTGACACCTATTTCTGATTTTAGTTCCTCTGAACGCAGGGGTGTGTGGCTGGTGGCCCCCCTCATTGCCAGGCTGCCGACCTCTGTGCAAGGAAGAGTACTGAAAGCTGCCGGAGAGGAGCTGGAAAAGGGGCAGCACTTGGGCTCCTCTTCCAAAAAGGAAAGAGACAGACAAAAACAGAAAAGGTACGGCTGCAAGGTGTGTCTCTGTGTGAGGGGCTAAGGAATGATGAGAACAAGGGGCATCTTGCAGACATACATGGTCACGGTACCCAGACTACACTGAAACTATGGTTTTAAGTGGAAATGACAAGATTCTGTTTAGGTGGAGCTCTGTTCCTAAAATGCTCCAGGTTCTAATACTTAGTACACCAGTTTTCAGTTTTGCCTGTGTCCCCGAATCACCACTGAGCCATTTAAATACTGACTTCTTAGCCCCGCTGCCGAACTGTTGAATCAGATCTGGAGATCCATTTAATTCCTGTATTCTACATTTAATTAATTTTCATTGTTTTAATTATTTATGTATAAATTACGTAGAATCATTTATAATTCTTTTTGAGCCCTAAGATAGTAATATTTGAAACATTTAGGCTATTCTAGACTGAATACTAAAATGTATAAGCCACTGAGTTTAATCTTTTCTTCATTTATTTGAGGCCCTAGAAAAGATTTCAAATAATTAAACTTGCAAACTGACTCTGTTACTGAGAAAGAATAAAGCTGCGTTCTAATGTGGAAAAATGAATTTGGCACCTCAGGACTGAAAGGGAATAATGATTTCTTCCATTAAAAAACAAACAAACCAACCCAAATCTGAACATGTATTCTTCTTACCCCTAATTAATAATATTTTAGTAGCTACCATTTATTGAGCGCTTATAAAATACCAGTGTTTGAAACTCATCGTATACATACATGAACTTTTCAGTTCTCACAGCAATCATATTTGGTGGGTACACTCTCCTTCTACCCTTCTCCAGATGAAGAAAGGGAAGCAATTGAAAAGTTAATTTCTCAAGGACACACAGCTAGGAAGTTGTAAACAAGTTTTTAAAACCAGGTGGTCAGGGCACCTGGGTGGCTCAGTGGTTGAGCGTCTGCCTTAGGCTCAGATGGTGATCCCAGGGTCCTGGAATCGAGTCCTGCATCAGGTTCCCTGTTTCTCCCTCTGCCTATGTCTCTGCCTCTCTCTCTCTCTCTCTGTGTGTGTGTGTGTCTCTCATGAATAAATAAATAAAATATTAAAAAAAAAAAACCACCCAGGTGGTCTGGCTCCTAAGACTGTGCTCTTTAACTGAACTGCATTTTGGTAAAGACCTAGTTTTGCATGTATTCTGTTTGTTAAGACCTGTTGTTTGGCGTCACCGTTGTGTCAGTCAACCCACCAGATGATTTAATTTTAATTCTGAAAGTTAATTTGCTAATGGATGGTTGTGTGTACATTGCCTCCTTTCCCACGGGGGCGGGGGCACAGTTGGTATTACAGAGCTTAAAGATGACTCTTCTCAAATCAGTCTCTCTCAGCTCTGCTGGTGGAGGCTGAAGCACATTGAAATATTTGGGTCTCAATCTCCTTTTAAGATTTTTTTTTTGCCGGGTCACCTGGGTGGGTCAGCAGTTGAGCGTCTGCCTTTGGCCCAGGGCATGATCCTGGAGACCCAGGATGGAGTCCTACATTGAGCTTCCTGCGTGGAGCCTGCTTCTGCCTCTGCCTGTGTCTCTGCCTCTCTCTGTGTGTGTCTCATGAATAAATAAATAAATAAAATCTAAAAAAAAAAAAAAAAAAATTCCAGCTTAGCGCTTCGTCAGTATGATTTGTTCTCTGATAATTGAAGAAATATTCATACAATGACAATTTAGAATAGATTTTTTTTTTAATTCAAATGCCTTAAAAACATCTTAAGACGAGACTATGGGATATGGTTGATCACTCACAAGCTCACTGCTCTTGGATCCTCAGATCCAAAGGTGCTGATCTTAGTTCTCTCAATTCCCACCCCTGCACTCCCCCAGCATGCTCCTACAGTATGAATCTATGCCAGTTTGGGACTGTCTTCAAGAGCAAGAGAGCATATTAAATTATTCAGAAGCATCACAGTGGTTTTTAATCTTAATAGTAGAGATATGATTTAACTTTTCAAGTAGGCTTTGGCTATTTACTACTCTTTTCCCTTTTCTAGAAGTAAAATAAATAAGACCCAGTAACCCAAGGGCAAGAGATCTATGTTGCACAGGAAGTAATCCATCCTCTCTAACTAGATCTGCTGTTACTACTTCCTTCGTAGTATGTCTCTTTTGAGTCAACAACCTTTCCTCTCGCTGGTCCTTACCTGCCTTAAGGGACAAGATGAACAACGGGAAGGCCTCCTAACATCTCTTCAGAATCAAGTTAATCAGGTAAAGTATACTAGAATATTAAGCCAGGCAGGTATTTTTCTAATGGCATTAGTTTGTTTTCCTTTCAAATACTGTGCTTAAGAAGACAACAACATATTTTGATTAGATGTCAGGAGACATTGTCCATGTACTGTGGCAGTCAGGGACCTCTACCTGGCAGTCATTCTAGTCACCACAAGATTCATGGTTTTGTAATAGTAATTATGCATTGGATAAATATCTCTGTCCCATAAATGTATAACATTTTGTACATTGCATACAAGTTTGACAAATCTGCTCCTCTCCTGACCCTGGCTCTTGAGAGAGATCCTGGAGCAATGCATGCTGTAGGCATGGCAGTAAGACCAGAGGCACTTCTCTCCAGTTTCTCCAGCTTGGGTGCCACCAATCCGGAGGGTCTTGGCTTGAACTTTCTTGACTCAGAAACTCAGTTTTATTTTCCTGCCAGAGCCAGACCATTGCCAGTCAAGTGTAAAGTATTTATTTCAAAATCAGAAGGCATATCAATTCGTTTACAAAGAATTTGAATTTAGGCTTTCCACCAACCACAGTTCTCCTGGTCACTCTTTTGGGGCATTTGCATTGAGTGTATTTCAAAGAAGCCAGATGCTGACACTAGAAATTGGTAAGTGTGGAATTGAGTAAAGAAGGTAGCTTGGTCATATGGGATGTTTTATCCTGTTTCGGAGCTAAACCCTCCTGGGGCCCTCTGTTTCTATGACATCGTGTCTTTCTCGCAAATGATGCCAGATGAATGTGAACAACGATATTGGACTCTTTTGGTCTTCTCGTATCTCCCACCTTTTGAATATGAGAGATCTATTCTTTGCACAGCAGCCAAAATGATCCTTCTAAAATATCGATTACGTATACCTCTGTCCCTCAAGATACTACCATGTTTCTTACTATACCTAGAATAAAAATTCAGTCTGGGCTGATCGAGGCCTGCGTGACTCAGCCTCGGCTCCCATTTCTGCCTCATTTCCTACCAATCATGCCTTGCTCACTCCACTCTTCACACTGACCCCATGCTATCCTTTTTCTTTTTCTTTTTCTTTTTCTTCTTTTTTCTTTTTTCTTTTTCCTTTTCCCTTTTCCCTTTATTTTAGCAAGTGAGCACGATTGAAGAGAGGGGCAGAGGGATGGAGAGAGGGGGAGAGAAGTGGGCACCTCACTGAGCATGGAGCTGAAGGCGGGGCTTGGTCCCTGGTCCCTGAGATCACAAAACAGGAGGCAGATGCCTAACCGAGCCACCCGGGCACCCCGTTATCCTTTGAATTTGCCAAGCTGATTCTCATTGCAGCCCCTTTGCCTCTTTTCTTCTCTTTAGGTGGAAGGCTTTCCTTTCAGATATTAACAGGGTCGCTCCCTCACTTCATCCTCTCTGTGCTCAGGCGTCACCTCCTCATGGAGGCCCTCCCAAATTCCTCTCCAAAAATGGGACCACGGTCATTTTGCATCCCCCCCCTTGCCCTGTTACATCTGACCTGTTGTTATTTGTCCTGTTACTGGAATGAAAGCTCTGATGCAGCTTTGTGTTCACTGTCTGGCACCCTCCAGTCAAACTTGGGAGAAGACTCTAACTTGATGAGATTTGAGAAATACTCTCCTCTCACCATGCAGCATACTTAAGGCTCATCTTTTTGGCAGAGCTACTTCCACATATGACTCATTTTACCTCTTAAGATGATTTGTCAGTAGTTTACCATATTCTCAGAGCATGGCAGTCAGGGGAGGACTTTGCTCTCAGCATCTAATTCTAGGATGTTGCCCACTTGTGGTTTGCCTTTCTTAAACAAACCTTCCCCTATTCTAACATTACTCTGAATCAGTGAAAGCACTCATTTTGTAAAACAATACACCATTCGACTGATGTCAAAGTTGTCATATTTTTCAAAATAGCACATACTATCTTGATCAAAGAAGACAAGGAGTATGAGATAACAAGCCCCCCCCCCCCCCGCTTCGCTAAAAAATCAAAATAATACGTTTGCTAGGGTTCATAGACAATCCCTAGAAGTATAACACAGGTCTGAGGTAAAATGTAATTTTGTCTAATCAATATTTCTAAGACTGATGAAATAACATTTTAAAAGTAATCTTTCTTTATGTTGGTCAATTGTTAATTTCACCTTTTTTTTTTTTTTTTTTAAGTAGCAGGATTGTAAGTCAACTCTACTTCCCTCCACCTAGAAAGGCAATGAACAGGAAACAGCCAGATTTCTGTCTGTGTGGAAGACGGGGGAAAGCTAAAATTGCATTTTATTTTTTAATTTGTTAAACTAAGAAGTTTTGACTGTTAGAAAGTCAACATAACTTTAAGTACAAGAAAAATTCCATTTTAATAGGGAAAATAAGTTTTGGGTTCTTCCATTCGTTTGCTGATTTAGATTTTAAGTAATTGGCGAGAAGAACGATACCAGGATGACATAAAAGCACGACAGATGATGCACGAAGCATTGCAACTTCGCCTAAATTTGGTAAGGGGTATTTCTAGTATTTTCCCTCCATTACACTTACCTAAATATGGACATAACTCCAGCCATCCACCTCTTCTATGCTCATAGTCTTCATTACAAGGTGAGCCCTTCCACTGTGTGCCTTAACAACTTCCCTCTCTCATGTGTCCGTCCCCTTTACTGCTGACCTTCCTTCTGGTCTGACTTCTAGAGGGCATAGGTATTTAGGGCATTGGCTTGCTCTCTGCACCTTCTGCCCCAGGGACTCTCTCCTTCTTTTCCATTTGTGCTAAGAGTAGGTCTAAGACAGCTACTGCTTTGAGATGAAGTAGCTTTCATTACACTCATTTAAAGACTCATATAAAAATGTGCCATAAGTCGAAATTTTGTCAAGCTTTCCATCAGATTGAGCATAAAAACAAATTTGACAGGGAGGCTGTGCTCACATTTAAAGTTTCTCACGTATTACACATTTCTTTGAATTTTTGTTTTTCCTTGCTGCATAAGCCTCGATCATGGCTACTCTGGAGGAGGGCTTGCCTGATGCTTGGCAGTTGTTTTAACTTAATTCCCACACATAAATGAGTAGATCTGGGGGACAGGTCTCCTGATCCTCAATACTTCGGTGTTACTGGGTATTTCCAAGTGTTATTACGACAACAGGCTTAGATTCGATAGTAATTGAACAGCACAGAGTTATAGATAATCAACTTACCTGGTTTTGACCTATTCAGGTTTGACTAAAGTTACATCATTATGCAGGGTATTAGGAAACATTAGGAACAAAAGAAAGTTAGTTCTCCTATTATTTGATTCATATTGATGTTGCTCCCGCACTCAGGTTCCCTTTCTCCTTCCCCGACCCCCTAGCCCCCCACCTTTTTTTGAATGACCAAATTCCTGTGCTGAAGGAACCCAAAACAGTGACAGAGAGGTACCTAGGTAAGAGAGAAGATGTAATAACCCATAAACTAGTGCTGTGTGTGTGTGTGTGTGTGTGTTAAATAATAAAAATTGGCTGCATGATTTGATGGGGAGGGTATTTTCTTTGTAATCAAGTTTTATTGTATTATTTTTGTGCTAGGTGGGTGGAATGTTTGACACTGTGCAGAGGAGCACCCAATGGACAACAGACTGGGCCCTCCTCCTCCTTCAGATCATTACTTCTGGAACTGTTGACATGCATACTAACAAGTACGTCCTGATTTCACATTTAGTATGCTGCACACCCGTGTGGCAGGAGCTATGATATACTGACTACAAGTTGTGTCACACATTAGCCTCTTAGTTACCATCAAAAATTCTATGCCTTATATAAAAATGCTGTTTAGTAAAAAGCATCTTGATCTTGCTTTAAGGTGAAAATAATCATTTTTCTCTCCCCTTAGTGAATTATTCACAACAGTTCTTGACATGCTGGGTGTTTTAATCAATGGAACATTAGCCTCAGACTTATCAAATGCATCCCCAGGGGGATCTGAAGAAAATAAACGTGCATACATGAATTTAGTAAAAAAACTGAAAGTAAGTTTGCGACCTGCTTATATATTATGATCTCAGATAGTTTATGCATTACTCATTTATTGCATTTTATCTTAATTTACTTTGTTAAATTAGATATTATTCATTGCATTCAGCTAATGTTATGTGGTTATTTTGCTACTTGCTTTACCTCAGCTTACTAGTACTCAAAAGTTTATGCGCATATAGCATGAATATGTTTCATAGAAGAATTCACAAAATGTTCAACTTTTTTAAGGAACTTTAGAAATCTATTATTAAATATGTGACAAAAATGCCAACATTGGATTTAGGATAAATCCAGGCTTGCATTGGCACCTATAATTGAAAAATAACCATTTGCATTTGATATTTCTAAATCCAGTTCATTTGACTAACCAATAACATAATCTTTGAAATAAACTGTCAACAAAATGGTGCAGAAGAAAAAAAAATCAATATATCTAACAACCTTACCAATAAAATAACCAATGATTACCTTGAAGTCTGACCCTGGATTTGAGAACGTGTTCTGTGCTGCGGCTTCTGCCTTCTGCTGCCAAATCCTACCCTGGATTTTTGTCATTTCAGCACTGCGATACTTGTTGTGTAACAAGGGTCCCATTTATATGTGTTCTATTTTCTACTTAAATAGAAGAAATGAAACATACTCACTACTCTAATTGAAAGCTGCATCATAGACCATTCTCAAGGTTAAAGAACATTCTGACTATAAAAAAGGAAATGTTTCATAGAGAAACTTCCTTCTTGCTAACTTTTGCCTTCGTTGTGATTTCTGTCCTACTTCTCTATATGTTTTTTTTTATTTGTTTGTGTTTTTAGAAAGAACTAGGAGACAAGCGATCAGAAAGTATTGACAAAGTTCGACAGTTGCTACCTTTGCCAAAACAGACATGTGATGTCATCACTTGTGAACCTATGGGTTCCTTGATTGACACAAAGGGAAACAAAATTGCTGGATTCGACTCTATAGATAAAAAACAGGCAAGAGTAAATGTTTGTTTTTTGTATATATTTTCTTATCTTTCTATAGTGTATATGAAACATCTCAATTTTATAGTTTTCTTGATTTTTTTAAAAGCATATTCTTGTCATTTGAATGTATTGGTCATTGGCATTATCACATAGATACTCATTTAAAACTTTATGTGAATGCCTGGCTAGCACAGTCGGTAGAGCATGAGACTCTTAAAACTTTACGTGAATTTAAGTGAATTTCTGAAGCCCAGTGCAGGAAAACCAAGTAAAAATGTATTGTTAAGGGGCACCAGGGTGGCTCAGTCAGTGAAGTGTCTGCCCTCTGCTCAGGTCATGATCCAGGGGTCCTGGGATAGAGCCCAGCTTCTGGCTCCCTGCTCAACAGGAAGTACACTTCTCCCTCTCCCCCTGCTTCTCCCACCCCGTGCCGTTCACAAGTGTGTGCATGCTCTCTCTTTCTCTCTCAAATAAATAAATAACATTCTTAAAAATATGTGTTCTATTAATAAAAGAAGGCAAAGACCGGGTCATTTTACTTAAGAGTTGTAAATGATACATATAGATAAGAAAATTTTGATCGATAAAGTCTTCGTGTAGTAAGCTGTTTTGATTAATAAATATGTTTAGGGTGATGGTCCTTAATTTTCTTATCAATTAAGCAATATCTTAACACTTGTTTTATATATAGGATATTAAACAAGGTTCCCTTAACTGTGAGAAGAGTAGTTATTCTTTCAGTGAACGCTGAGCAACCAGAGATGAACGACAGAGCTCCTCTCCCTTAAGCAGGAGTAGATAAACAATTACAGTATGGTGAGATTTGTGTCATGGTACAAAGTGTTAGGGACCACCCTGAGAAGGAGACATCACACACACACAAATAAGGAATAAGTAGTCAGAATACAGTCCCCGGGGAAATTGACACTTGAATGATTTTGAGGGATTAAGAGTTAGTTGGGAAGAAGGAAAGAGTGTGATACAGGCCAATGGAAGAGTTTATGCAAAGGTATGAAAGAATGTGGCTCTTAGGAGAAATGCAATACTGCGCTAGTTCAGAGTAACCTGAGTACTTTTACCAGTACGGTTGTCGAGACAGAAAAAGCTAGCATTGTGGGCAGGCTGAGTTTGGTGTGTCATTTGGTTTTTTAGAGACACCTAGAAATCATTTGGATAATATGCACTTTGTACCCAGGAAAGAGGTCTAAGCTCAAGAAAGATATTAGGAAACAATTTATACATGGTAAATGAGCCTTGATTTACCATGATCCATCCCTGGGGGAAGAGTTGTGTAGGTAAGAACAGGAGTGTTGTTGTTATCTTCTGGAATGCCTATTTTTGGGGTCATTCTGACAAAAAAAAATATTTTCAAGTTGGTATGCCAGGGAAAGTACCTAGAGACATCACCAAGTAATATGAAAAATAAGAAACCTTTATTTTCAGAACAGAGTAACATTTCCTCATCTAAACTCAGTAGAGATACTCTTGAATTAAAGGACTTTATTTATACTTACTTGTTGGTACAAGTTACTTCTGTAGTAATCTTCTTTATTAAGTGCAGAAAGATTCCTGTACTGAATCAAGTCCAAACATGTTTGGATTGAAGTTAATTTGAGTCCAGTTTAGAACTGACTATAACTTGACTGTGAAGTTTTATCTTCAAAACAAAACAAATCAAAAACAAACAAAACAGATTCCAAGGGGTTATAATTGATTATGATTTAATACAGTTACATCAACACTGCAGTACTTTTTAGAAGATGCTTTCTCCAAAAATGCTTTCTTTTTTTTGGAGAAAACAAGAAGCTCACAATGAAAAATAACATTTTACAGTAAAATATACTGGGCCATCTGGTGTTGCAACTTGGTCTTAGGAACCATAGAACTGAACGTAAAGGTCTGAATTGGAGCTGCAGCTCTCCAGTCATCTAGCTGCGTAACCCCCGATCCATACGTTTACCTGTGTGCTGTGTGCTAGGGCGCTCTAAGCCTCAACACCGGCCAGAGTGTTCTCAGCGTCCATGTCCTAAGCAAGCTTGGCCTCTGAGTCAGGAAGAGATCTGGACGTGAGGTCATGGAGCATTATCTCAACCACAGGGTCTTCAGGTCTCTACAAAGCAGAAGGTGTCCCCGTGGGATCTGTTTGAGGGTCAGAAGAACCCAGCTCCTCTGTCCTGGGCCTGGTTCGGGACTGTCCGAGTGGACCGAAAAGTGATCAAGTACGAGGAGCAGCATCACCTGCTGTTGTATCACACGCACCCCATGCCCAAGCCCCGAAGTTACTACCTCGAGCCACTGCCCCTGCCTCCGGAGGAGGAAGAGGAAGAGCCCACATCTCCTGTCTCTCAGGAACCAGAGAGGAAATCAGCTGAGTTGTCAGATCAGGGAAAAACCGCAACAGATGAGGAGAAGAAAACAAAGGGAAGGAAGCGCAAGACGAAATCAAGCTCTAGAGTTGACGTGAGTATGGAAAGTCGGGAGGTCTTTGGCTCATTAACACCTGGTGGGGGATGGCATCATGCCCACAGTCTGTCCCAAGAATCAGGAAGAGCATTAGAAGCCTTATTGTAGTGGTTGTAATCCTAACAAATCAGTAGAATAGCACATGGACAGTGACTTGTCCCAGATGACAGGAATATAGCCTCTGATTTTTTTCCTTCTCTAGTTTTCATTGCTTAAATTTTGGGCTTCCCTTGTGAATAATCTTGAATTAATATTTCAGTGCCTCTTAATTTAAAACTTGAGTTTCTTAGATCCCTAGAATCTTATTGTCTTACATATTTTTATTATCTCATGTCTAAAATAGTTATATTTTGAGCAGTTGACATCTGTAGTTAATTAATGTGAGAAATGACTTGCATTTCCCTAGCTAACATTCCATCTAATACATCCATTAGGATGTTTCTGAGATTTTCATATTTTACCATTCCATGTTATTCTCCTGTATACGTTGCTTTTTTTAACATACTTTCAAACTTTATATAAGATAAGCACAATTTTTAAAAAAATTTTCATTCCTAGTTTCTCTTTTTTTAATTAAAAAAATTTTTTTTCATGCCTTGTTTCTCTATTAGACTTCCTTACCTTACATTTTCTTGGAAACAACAGAAATCTGTAAGATGATAATTTGGAACTAATTTTATTGCAGGTCTAGAAATAATGTGCAAAAGTCTCTACATTTTAATTCACCTGTAAAATACTTGAGAGAGAATTTGAAACATTTTTGTATAAAATCTAAGGGCATTTTTATACAAGGGAAGAAATATTCACAATTTAGTGTTCAGGTGTCATGTCTAATTATTATTATTTACCTATGTCAGAACCAAAACGTGTCTTTTCCTAGGTGATAGCCTGGTGATTCATATTTTTCTAGAAAAGACCACCATCACTTTTGGATGCCACCTGAATGGCCATGCTCTCTTTTCATATAGTCTTCCTACCAATATTCCTTTATTTTGAAGACGTACTCAATAAGGTCCAGACCGCCACTACCTAAAATCTGGACTCTCTGAGCCTATCAGTCCACATGGATAGATATAGAATAGGTTTCTGTTCTTTTTAGATACAAAAGCTCTAAAACCTCTCATTTCCTGAGTGAATCCCAGTAATGTCCCTTCCTCCCATACTACTTCTGGAGCTGCCCCTTCCTAGAATGGGTTATATTTTAAGCATCCGTGGTTTTGTTTTTTTCTTTATGCTTTAGGGCTAGACTAAGAGAAAGGTGGGGGCTACTAGCAGGGGAATGGAGACATCTGGGTGTGAACCTTAAAGACTCTGCATCTCATAAGGAAGACAATGCCGGAGGGGGGGGGGGGGGGGGGGGGGACTGGAGTGCAGGAAGGTGGCGGAAAGTCTATGTCTTTAGGTTGCTGCCTTAGAAATTGGAAATAAGATACTGTGTAAGCCAGCGACTGGTCCTGAAGTATTCTGGGTCTTTCTGGCCTCTTTCTCATCCAGACCCAACATACAGGGAAGGCTTGGTGAGGTGACATAAGATGAAATGATCCCCAGAGACTTAGTTAGCATCTTAAGATGCTCTTTGTGTTGTGGGCAGTGCTCAGCCGTTGATGTGCTTTTTGTTATTTTAAAAACAAACTTCAGAGGTGAGCTTTTTACAGCTTCCCTCTACTGAAGCCAAGTACTTCTTAGGTCAAAGGCTTTTACTCAAATGAGTGTTTTTCAGAGAATATGTTGACACTCTTGCCTTCATCTTCCCCTCTATCAAAACAGCCTTGTATACTGGGATAGGAGTTGGCTTAAGTAATGTGATAAGAAGAATTTGCATTCATTATCTATACAGTTGGTGGAGTTAAGTAACTTTCTTCTTTAACTTTATGTTGAAGGAGTATCCACAGAGCAACATATACCGAGTGCCTCCTAACTACTCACCCATTTCCTCTCAGATGTTGCACCATCCACAGTCCACTCTGTGGGGCTACAACCTCATGGGTCAGCCCCAGCAGCCGGGATTTTTCCTTCAGAACCAATCTCTTACTCCAGGTATGTGAAGAGAGAGTGCGATCGGGTCACTCTGAGATGTGAAGTAGATTGGGGTTTTCTTTCCTTTTAAGCTGAAATCTCCACAAATCTTGGAAACAACAAGAACTGAGTACTCCGTTGACATTTCTGTAATCCACTCCACTCGAAATGGTTTTTCTTCTTCTAAAATAAGGGTGGTTATTTTTTTAAATGTTTCATCTATTTTTGATTGTCACATATATGAATATATTCTAATTGTAAGAATCAAACAATACCTGAGTATATAAAGTAATATGTAGCCAGTTTGGGAGTGTTCCTCAAGTGGTAAAATACGGTTTTGTTAAGTTATATTCTGAGGTGAGAGGTTTTCCTTCAGTGTTAGAAGGGATTAGCCACTGATGAAAATCTGCACTATCAGATATAAAGTTGACAAAAGTTGTATGTTGTGAAATTTGTGTGTTTTTTCAGATATAGTTCTTTGCAGTGTTTTAAAAAAATTAGATAACATTATCTTTATGTTCTCAGGTTATGAATTGTAAAATATGCTGCGGAGGATCACAGAAATTTGGTTCAGCAGATAGATTGAGATTGCAAAGAAAAAAAAAAAAAACAACTACCGAATCTATGAAAAATGTTCCTGATTTTAGTGTTGCTTTAATTCAAGCCCAAGTAGACTTTATATCTGAAATGAACATTCCCTAAATAAAAAATCTCTTACTTAGAAATGAATTTAATTTTCATTTTAAGTGAAAGTTATCTTCAACAAAATAGCATATTTTGAGATCTTAGCCTGCATGTTGTAGTTTTATTATAATTTGAGTATGACATTTTGAGTCCTAGGATAGACGTTGATTCTCAGCTTCCAGTGGGGGAGAATCCATATTTTGTCCTCTAAATTAACAGTTGAGAGGGCTGGCCTGGAAGTTACAGTTCTAGGTTGAAGACTGGCTCAACCACTTTCCTGCTGTATAATCTTGACCAGGTCTTAATTTTTCTATATGTCTCAGTAGACAGTTATCTGTAAAGTGAACATTTTAATAGATGGCGTCATAGGGTATAGGTCATTCAATTATTTATTCAATAAAATGCATTGAACTTCATAATGTTCCAGACTGTGTTTTAGGTGATAGGCTATTGCATTAAACAAAATGGGTAAAAATATTCATTCTTCTTTGAATGATGAAAGAAGGGTTATATTATACACACGTGCACACACACACAATTAGATATTTTACCCAGCTCACTGCCTCCCTCCTTTGGGCTTGGTCAGATACCATTTTCTCAGTGGGCTTCCACTGACCACCCTCTTTTATAAATGGTAAGTCACACCCCTTCCCTGCTCCCTGTTTGCCTCCCCTTTCTGTTTCTCCATGGCATTAGCACTTGGCTATATACTAAATATTTAACTTACTTACAGGTTTATCATGTAGCTTTCCCACAATATAAGCTCTGTTGGGACAGATATGTTTTCTGTTACGTTCGCTGTAGTATCCTCCAAACTTACAGCAACCTCTGGCTTTTAGTAAGCTCTTAAAAATAGGTTGTTGAATGAATGAGTGTCTACTGTAAAGAACAAACTAGATAATGATAAATGTGGAAAATAATATACAATCATTTTCTCGTTTGACTTTCTTTTATCAGTCCCAAGGTTCTTGTGAAATTTTTAGCATTTTTAAACACCAATTCAACGTGAATTGAAGGCTAATATTTTATAAAGACCTGTACTTTCTTCCCCTAGAATACTATAAAAGGTGTATTTGTAAGTTAAGGAAGTTTAGGTTTTAAGTATGATGACATGTAAGAAAAAAATGTAAAGAAAACAAGCATTTATAGGGATTTTATATGTATGAATTGACTTTTGCAAAAATGTGAATCCTATGAAGGTGCAGAAGAATATTTGCAGTATGCTTTCACTGATAGATAGTTAAATTCAAAGCAGTATGCCCCCTTAACACACGTGTGCACACACATACGCCCACCTCTCTACAATTTCCTTTTCTCATGTCTATACACCAGTATGGTAAAGTTAAAAGGAAATGTTTGGGGATATTAAACATCATATTCAGAATAGCATTTGGTGAGAGAAGGGAGGGAAGTAATTAGGTAGGAATGTGCAGAGGGCTTCAGGTATACTTACTATATTTCTTTAATTGGCCCAATGGTACAAGATTATAGAAGAGTTAGGAAAATTAAAAGAAAGTGGACTATGGTCTCATCTGTAGAGAGAATCTTCCTTATCTATAAAAAAAAGTCCATTAAGGTTTTATATATTAAAATAGTTTTAGTTCTTGCTTCCACCAAAGTTGCCATGTGTTACTTATATTAACTTTCCTCTTTTTTCCAAATGTTCTTCAAATGCTGCTGAATGACTTTCTAAATCATATTGCTGGTTACGGTTCTGAGTCTTTAAAAGAATGTGGGTTTTTCAAGTGAACAGCTTGAAGGTGTTTGTTCCCACCGTACAACTTGCTTAAAAAAAAAAAAAGATAAAACATCTTTTGTGAGATATTTATAGAGAGGATTTATCACACATATATTAAAGAATATAAACTGACTGGTAGGTAAATGATTGACATCTTGTTTGAAGCCTGCAAATGTTGAAAATTTCCCCCCCAAGCTCTTAAAAGCATTTGACAAATTATATATGCAAATATTAAGGATTTCCTTTGGTTTCTGAAGCATCACTATAATCAGTGTTTCTTGTTTGCTTTTAAGGCTTCAAAAGATGTGTTCTGACTTTTGAGTCATGGTATTTGAAGTTTCCAAGCCTTTCAAGTTTTGAGAGTATTTTCATGCCTCTGTTCGACAAAAGAGGCATATTTATTTTGCCATGGTAAAGAAACTTAAATACCGTGAGTTTCAAATTTGTTTAAAATGACAAAAGAGTTTCTGTGACTGGCTTGGGACACCTGGCAAAAGCCACCAGGAAGGCAGTACACTTTTTAGGCAGGAAACGTGTTCCCGAGGGCCTTGCATAATTTAAAACCCACGTGATTCCAAAGTTCTGCCCACGAGTCTGTCTCAGGCCTTTTAGTTTATCAACCGAAGTGGGGCCTCCGTGAAATCATTGAAATACAATAACTCACTCCTACATCACTGTCCCCGTCCTTTGGGAATTACACGGTTCTCGACGTAGGAAGCTATCACAGCGGAAGCTAGTTCAACTGTATGGGGTGAGGCCGGGCCTTAAAGTGAGGCCTCGAAGGTAAGGTTTCTGTTTTGATAAAATAAGGAAGACCTGTTGCATTAACACGCGTAGAGAGCCCTTCTTTCCGGTTGCTTTTGTAGGTGGCTCCAGACTGGACCCCACGGGCTCCTTTGTCCCCACCAACACCAAACAAGCCCTGTCCAACATGCTGCAGCGGCGTTCGGGGGCCATGATGCAGCCACCCCCGCTGCACGCCATCACCTCGCAGCAGCAGCTGATACAGATGAAGCTTCTGCAGCAGCAGCAGCAGCAGCGGCTTCTCAGGCAAGCCCAGGCTCGACCCTTCCAACAGGTTTGTCCAGATCCAGCAGTGGAGCCCTCTGCCTTTTGTTAGCACCTCTAGCTAGGGATGTGTAAGGTATGGGGCGCAGTGTTCCTGCTCCTGCATCCCTGAAATCTTGTGGGCGTGCAGGTATAGCTTGCCTACAGGTTTATTTATACCCCTTGTGGATTTTACTGTTCTCGTTGATGCAATAAGAGCTTGAAGTATCTTGGGTTCATTCCAAGTATGCCTTAAAACAAGAGGAGCTGATGACCCTCCAGTCACTGAGAAGCAGCAAGTCTTTCATCCCTGTAGTGACCCTGAGCACTCATTCCCTATAATTATCACTATCTTCTCTCCACCTGTTAGCTCTACTTTCATGTATTATTATTAGATTGATTACTCTGAGGTCATATCTCTAAAGCCCTGGTGTTAATTCTAAGGTTTCTCTCTCCAGTGCCCTGCATAGACTGTTTTCAGTATGTACTTAATAGGTCTATAGCAAAGAATATATTACAAATAATAGTCAATATATAGATACCTTCAGTTTCTTTTTTTTTTTTTTTAAGATTTTATTTATTTATTCATGAAAGACATAGACAGAGAAGCAGGCTCCCCGTGGGGAGCCCCATGCGGGACTCAATCCTAGGATCCTGGGATCATAACCTGAGCCAAAGGCAGATGCTTAACCACTGAGCCACCCAGGCGCTCTCTTCAGTTCCATTCTTGATTGATATTTTTGCTGTTTTTATGCCGCCTAACTCAATTCTCTTTAACTGTTGAGAGGACAGTGATTATTGAATAAAACAATGATGGGAATTATACACAGCTTAGGACAGGCTCAATGAAGCCCATGGATATGTACAAATAAAGAAAATGGGAAAGGAGGAGGTGAGATTGGGACTCCCCCCCCCCATTTCTGTATATTTCTGTACTTTCCAACTTTTCTAAAAATGCACTATTTTAATGAAGATGAGGATGATAATAATAATAATAATAATAGCAGCTAACACCAATAGAGCACTTACTATTTGCCAAAACATTTCTAAGCGCTTTAAGTGTATTAGTTATCTTATATCCTACACCAACCCTGAGATTTAGGTACTTTTTTGAACCTCAAAGGAAGTAGCCTATCCACAGGTATATCTTGCTCTAAGAAAAACCATAAAACTTTGAAATTAGCAAGAGATTCTAATGCTTTTTAAAATATTCTTTGTGAAAAAAAAATATTCTTTGTGTTTTGGATAACTTACTAGGCATATCTCTGTTGTGTAACTTATGGCACTCTTGCATCTGGTCCACTTAGTGATTTGGGGAGCTCAGGGTGGGATGGTTAATTATATACATTATATACATTCTTAAAAATGATTCTTGTTTTTACCTGTATTCTAAGAAGGATAGGACAGAGGAAACTAGTTCAACTGTATGGTAATGCAAACAACAGTCATTGCATGTTTGTTTCTCCCTGACCTCTAGCAATTGTTCAAACTCCCTGGGTGTCAGGTAAGATGGGCCTAAGTAGCTTCTTACACAGAAATGATGAGCATTTGATTAAAATATTAAGAAATACTTATTTTAATTAAATAAGCAGAATGTTTAGAGACATTTAAGAACCTCAGTGGGATTTTCACTATTCAGTAGCCCATTTTCAGACTAATACTGCTAAGTTCAGTTTTGAACTGCTCTAAGTGATTCCTAGCCTGGGGGAAAAGCTTGCTGGGCCATTTATAGGTAAACATGCTTATCCTCAAAAGCTTTACTTCTGATACAGGTCAGAAGGACCCCATTACTTCTACACTTTGCCTCAAACCACTCAAAAATACCTGACCATTCTTTTATACCATGTAGAGTTGTATTGCATGTAGTAATAAGAATTAACAGCTCATTCTTTTTCTGATTCTTTTTGCCAGCTCTTTCTTTCCTTTTTCTTCTCGTTATTGTCTTGTCTTTTTTTTTTTTTATTATTTTTTGACCTTTTGAGAAGTTAGGAATCCTTCTTTGAGCAGTAAAAATCCAGCTTCATAACCACGTTTGTACAATATTTACCTCCCCTACCCCCATATTCTTTCTTAACAGTTGTTTGAAACTTGCTGTATTGTTTCTGATGAGCTTTCAGAAGCAGATTTTTTTCTCTCACCGTTCTTCAAGTGTTGGATACTTGAGGGAAAATAGTATTCTTCTGAGGAAGTGAAATACATGCATGGTGCAGCTGCATAGTCAAATGGTCCCATATGGAGTCATTGAGATCATATGTAGCGTTTGCGAGTACCTTCATCTAGGAGGTCCTGCAGAAATGTTGGCTCCTTTCCTCTCATATGCAAATGATTAATATACCTGGAATCTAGCAAAATAAGATATTGTGACCAAAAAAATTCTCCTTGTGGTAATCCTTAAACTGGAATAAAGGCAGAATCATAAGGAATATAAGTGATACTGATAAGTTCTAATATATGATCCTGGATGCAGTCAGTTGTTTTTCTACTTAGTACTGACCTATATCCTTCATGATGAGACTTGATAGAAAAATGTTGATTCTAATTTTGGCCAGGACCATTTTCTCAGGTTAAATGCCTACATGTAATGTGATTCTCTCTAGCTATGTAGGAACTTGCGATGTCTTTTTTTTTCTGATGAAATAGAAATCATTTTTCTTCTTATCCTAGCAGTTTTCTAATTATTAGGAATTCATTTTCTTAAATGTAGCAAACATGTTAGAGAATTTCCATTGATTTTAACCTTCAAAACTGATTTTTGGAATTTTAACAGATGCTTATTTTAAAGACTGATGAATTTGTCCCAGCCCTGGATGTGACTGCTCCCGAGGCCAGTTGTCCAGTAATCACCCCTTGGTAGACCCTCTTCTAACATGGTCAGACACCAGGTCTTATACTCTCTATTGAGCAGAGGGTAGAAATCTATGAAAGGTTTACCAAATGTCTTGAGAAACTATTTCCAGGAGCTTAGAGCTTCCTAGTAGCCTTAATCCTTTGCAGTCTGACTTTTATCCACAACGTCATTTTAACCCTCCTTCTGACTGCTTCCAGAAGTGACTTCAGTTATGGTTCTTTTGAAAATCTCGATGGGGCAGGGAGGACATAAACTCTGGATTCTGGATATGTCTCAGACCTTACAGAGTCCACTTAGCCTCTTCCCATCTTAGTGTAAAGAAGCTGATGTACGTAGAATTACCTAGCCTCAGATGGTGCATGAATACTATAACACCATTATCAAATAACTCTATGTCTGCTTGCAGAAACTGAACATCTGCTTCATTTGGTCATGGAATTTTCTGTTACGGGTCATTCTTGTATTTCCTAAAGAATATATTAAGACATTGGTATAGTGTCTGGAAAACAGATGCTAAAGAGCATGGATATTGTTAAGTATTTTTAATCAAATTATTTGATGGAAATTATTTGATGCAAAATTATTTGATAATTGAGTGTACTTCCTTACATCTTTAGTATATACTGGTATGGAAAAAGGTGTTTTGACAAGGAAACTGGTTTTTATTCCTTTGAGTTACACTCTTTATCCAGGAAAGTAAAAAACGATCACTCTCCATTCCTTATTCCATGTCCCTCATTTAAATGGGACTCTCTGTAGCAATTTTCTCACGTTTCTGTGCCTCAAAGCCTCATCTATAAAATGGAGCTACTGAAATGTTTATAGAGTTCTTGTGAAAATAATGTTTTAATACATCTAACTGCCCGTAACAACAGTGGCTGGCTCATAGTAAGTGCTCAAAAAATGTTAGCTGTTATACTTACTGTTACTGTTCCATTACTATCATGTTACAGGTGTATTATTTCAAGGGAAATCTCTATCCCATAAAAATGATCCTTATTTTCTTAAATATGGTAAGGATTAAAAGAGAGTAAAAGCCCTTTAAGTGCTTTATTTCTGTCATTGTATTAACTGTCCTTAATAAAACTGTTGCGCGGCAGCTGCCCATAGAAGAGACCAGTAAGATAGAATACTGTTCAGTTTTCCTAATAACCATTTTGGTTTCTTAAAGCAGTATATTTTTGCAGTCTAAATTCTGTAGTACAAACCTGAGAAGGGCTTATTCCAGTTTCAGTGTTAAGAATATCACTATATTGTATTTTCTGTATATCCTATGGGAGTCTTCACAAAAATATAGAATATTGGTGAAAATAATGCAAATGCTGCTTAAATTGTTTTCCAGTCACCTCTTTCTTACGTCCAATATTTTTCTTCTGACAGAAGGCACTTCTTCATGACCCCTGCCCTGCGCCCCCAGCGCTCAAAACCGTAACAATTTTCTAGAAAGCGAGGGCTTTTGGAGGGAATCTTTAAGCTTTGATCCACAGAAAGGACTTAATTATTTGCCTTGTTTTATGGTAAAGCTTTATCCTGATTTCCCCCTTTAAGTGTACAAAACCGTTTTGCTGTTCTTTGTAATAATCAGTGCCAGCCAGTTTATTTTAATGACCCAAAGAGAGACAATACGTTTAGCTTAAATTTCGCTGATACACATTTGGAAGAGTGCAGTTGGTTATAGGCTACAGTTAGTCGTGTGGATATTGATGACATTAAAGTGACGGATTTCCAATAGAGGACAGAAATGATGTGCCCAGTAATAGCTAATGGTTACTTGTAAAAATATTAGGTTATTAAACACAGAGCAGGTGCTATCATTGCCTATCAAATGAAGGAATTAGATAAAGAGAGAACAATGAGTCAGAGCCTCCCAGACTAGTTAGCTCCCTGGCAAAAGTAAATCAGTAACAATCTGAAAACAGGCCTCTTGGATTGATGAAACCCATTGAAGTTGAGCAGCTACCCTTTGGTAATTGATCTCTTACCCTAGGGGTAGGCCTGACCTCGGATATCTGTTTCCTTCCTTTGTTCTCTCCCTGTCTCATTCTCTAGAAATGTATTTCAAACATACAGAGAAGAATAGAAAATATAACAAACACGAATGGACTTCCAGCCTAGCTTTACTGAATAATCATGTTCCGCCATATATGCTCTAGGTCATTAAAAAATAAATAAAACATTGCAGT